CGAGAAGCCAGCGGGCCTCTCCCCCCTGGAGAGCGGAGGGCGGACTCCTGGGCTGGGGGGCCCGTCCGCGGTCCTTCGAGGCCATGTGGGCAGCAGAGCCCTGCTGGTGCTTCAGTGCCAGGGCCGCTGGCCCTCCGAAGCGGTCCCAGACCCAGAACCGGGGCCGGGCCCGGGCAGAGCGGACTTGGAGAGGGCAGGGGAGCGGGCCGGGCCACAGGCTGGCAGGGAGGCTGGGGTGCAGAAGGGGAGGAGTGGGCGAGGAGGCAGTGGCGGCCGGGATGACTCAGCTGCCGGTGTTTACGGGCGTCTACTGAGTTCCCAGGCTTCGCAGGCAATGGCCGCGTGCGAGGCCAGGGGAGCGGAAGGCCAGGCCCTGCCCCTGGGGGACAGGGACCTTGTTTGTGAGACACGCGGGCCGAGGGGAAACCACGGGACACCCTCACACGCTATGCCCCACCCAGCTCCCCGCCCCGCACACTGAGCCGGAGCAGGGGCCGCCCCACTCCTGCGGGGGGCGCCCTGAGGGCTGAAACCGCCTCCGGCGTCTCCGGGAGCCCAGGAGACGCGGACGCCGGGCCAGTGGTGACAGGAGGGAGGAGCGGAGGCCCGGGGGCCGGGTAGCTGCACAAGGGACGCAGGGACGGGGGCAGGGGGCGTGGCGGAGGGGCGGGGGTAAGTGGGCGGCTGGGTGGACAGGTAGGGGAGCAGACAAATAGACCGATGGAGGGGGGTGGATGGGGGTGGGCGGGTGGACAGGGGGCAGAGGGAACAGACGGAAGGATGGGTGGATGGATGGATGGGTTGTGACGGGTGGGTAGGCGCGTGGAAGGGCCAATCAGTGAGGGGACGGGTGGAGGGACGGTCAGGGGTGCGTGGAGCACGGATGGGCGGCTGAGTGGGTGCAGGCGTGGGTGAGGGCAGGCGGGCGAGTGGACAGCGGGCGGATGGACCGCGCTTCTTCCAATGGTCTGCACAACGTTGCCTTCCCACCCGTGTCTTCCTCGACCAGCCCACTTAAAAATGAAACCCCCCAATTAGCGGCGCTCCCCGCTGTATCTTTCTCCACACCATTTTAACCATTTTTTAATTTTTTTTGTTTCTTGTTTATTTATGTTTGCTCATCGTCTGCGTCTTGCCTGACGCCCGGCACTGTGTTGGCACGCAGGGTCGCTCAGCGAACCTGTCGTGTGACGACGCGCCGGGGGACTGGGCGGCGGGGCCGGCAGGACGGGGCCCCAGTGCCTGCCGTTCACCGAACCCCCACCCCTCTGCCCTCCCGCCGCCCCCAGGAGGGGGGAATGGGCCGCTTGGCCTCCTCAGGGGCCGAGAGGAGGGCACAGCGGGGCGGCTGAGGACCAGCGGGGGCGGCGCCCCGGCCAGGCGCCCACACCCACCTGCCGGGCAAGAGCCTGTGTCTGCACACACGCACGGAGATACCCAGATACTCAGGGACACACAGACATGCAGACACATACAGACACACAGGGATACACACGCACACGCAGACACACGGGCGGACACGGACAGCCCGCCCCGCCGCTGGCCCGCACACGGCGCTCACTGGGAGCCCGGGGCCCAGCGGCCGCGCCAGGTGCCAAGGACGCCAGGCCCTGCCCCACGCGCTCTCCCTGCCCCGCAGGCCCAGGGGGTGCCGCCTCATCCCCATTTTGCCTGGGGCCCGCATCCACCTCTGTCAAGGAAGGCAGTCGCTGCGGCCGCAGCACGGCCCCTCGCCCTGGGGGGCGGCGGGGGCCGCACACGGGAGGGCCGCAGGGCACGTGGGCGGGTGTCGGGAGCCCTCCTGGGGTCACGGCTCCCGGCCGCCCCGCGCTCCACGCGGACACCTGCGTTGACCGCCAGGGTCCGGCCGGCGGGGGGAGGGGTTAGCGCTCCTCATTTGCATCCTGCCCTTTGACCACCAGGCACCCTCGGGGGCCTCCTTCCTGGGGCTCCCACCAACTCTGGGGACAAGGGGGCCGGGGAGGAGGAGGAGGGGAGGCCGAGTCCCGGCTCAGGCCCCCTTGGCCTCGCGGGCTCTGTCCCCACACCAGCGGCAGGGCCGACGCGGCCTCCCAGGGAGGTGGAAGGACAGACACCGGGCAGAAGGGTGGCTGGCGGCGGGCACTGCCTGTGGGCTGGGGCTGGGGCCTCGCTGCCACCGCCCGCTGGCCCCCCGCTGGCCCCCCGCCAGCCCCTGCTGCTGGGGCCCGAGGCCACAGACGAGGCTCCCCCTGCTGGATGCAGGGCCCAGCCCTACAAGAACCTGATGGTCCCTTCAGGGAGAGGACACTGGCCATGGCTGTGAGGACGAGGACCCACGAGGCACAGCGGCGGAGCGGTGGGACCCCTCGCAGGAAGGTGGGGCTGCTGGGTCCCCAGCCCCGTGGATGGGGGTTCAGCAAGGGAGCGCCTGCCTCCCTGGAGCCGGGAGAGGCAGCGAGTCTGGGCCGCTCGCCTCATCATCCCTCCAGCAGAGGGGTCCCCTGGGCCCTCGGCCTCCGCAGAGGGCGCTCTGGTCAGCCTGGGGCCCGCACAGCGGCCGGGCCGGCAGCGCCGGCCGGAGCGACCGGAGGCGGTGCCGTGCAGCAGGGAGGCCCAGGAGGGCCCGGCCCCTCGCGGGGTCTTGGCTTCAATCCCAGGAGACCAAGGAGCAGAGGCGGGTTGCAGGGCTGACCCCCTCCTGTGTAGGAGACCCCGCGCGGCCCCCAGCACGCCGTGGGGGAGGGCGGTGTTCCTGTGGGGCCTGCGCTCAGGCCCTGCCGCTCCGCCCTGGAGGCCTGGGCCGGTGGCAGAAGACCAGTGGGCCGCTGTGGCCAACGAGATCTGCGGCCCGGGATAGAGGCCTGGGGTGCGGGGGTGGGGCTCGCCCCCGCTCTGCTGGGCACGGCCTCTCCCCCAAGGAAGAGTCACGGGAACTCAACCCCGACCCGTGTGGCCCTGGCCCCGGGGCCAGCTGTGGCAGAGGCGATGGAGGCAGCCAAAAACAGAGCCAGGCCCTGGCTCGGCCGCTCAGTGGGGAGGAGCACCGTCCCGGGTGCCGAAAGGTCGCAGGTTCGGTCCCCGTGCAAAGCACATACCTAGGCTGCGGGTCCATCCCCGGTCCCGGCATGTGCGGTCCCCGGTCGAGACGCCTGCGGAAGCCGATCCATGTTTCTCTCTCACACCGATGTTCCTCTCTCTCCCTGCCTCTCTCTCTACAAGGCCGTGAAAAAGTGTCCCCAGGTGAGGATTAGAAAAGTAAGTAAATAAAATAGACAAAGCCGGAGCACAGGCCAGCTTGGACGCCCCCCAGAAGACGTCAGCAGACGCAGGGGGCCCCTGCCCACCCTGCCCGCCGGCCCCAAGGCCCCCGGCCACGCGCCCCTGCCCACGGCAGCTCCCGCGCGGACACGCACCCCACGCTCCCTCACGGATCGCGCCCGGTTCGTCTCTCCAGCGGCGCGCGGTCCCCGGCCCCGGGGCGGCCGTGGGTGTCTGAGGCCGACAGGTCTGGGCAGGAATGGGGAAGGTCCTTTCCGAGGGTCAGGCTCACTGAGAAATACCGCCGGGCCACAGGAAAGAGAGCCCCGGGGAGCCCCCTGAGCCAGCGTGGACAGGGGCGGGGGCAGGGCCACGGAAGGGAAGGCTCTGAGGCTGCTGGGGGGGCGTCTGGGGCGGGGGCGGTGATGGCCGGGGCGGGGCGGGGCCGCGGCTGGGGATGGGGTTTTTCACTGGGGCGATGGGAAGCCGTGGAGAGTGGTGGTGGGTAGGAGCCTGGGACAGGGCTGGGGGCGGCTGGGGGGCTCAGAGGTGGGGGGCCGGGCTGGGACACAGGAAGGGAAGGGGCAGGGACCGCGGGCCCCTCACCCCCACAGGCTCCGAGGGCACGCGAGGCCCCTTGCTCTCCACACACCCCTGACACTGGCAGGACCCCAGGCCAGCAGCGAGGCACCCCAAGGTCAGCCTCTGCCCTTCAGGATGGGACCCGAAGGCTGGTGGGGTCCTAGTCCTGGAGCCCCGTTTTGCCGGAGTCTGGTGTTTCCGGGGGGCCCTGAGGCAGCCCCTCTCCCGTCTGGGCTGCAGGGGAAGCTGCTGAGTGTGCACGGCCGCCGTCGGCCCTGCGGGAGCGAGTGGACCGCCCGCCTCCCGCCCCGCCCGCCTCCCGCCCCACCCGGCTCTGCGCGCGGTCCTGGGGCGCCCTCTGGTGGCCGACGGGCCAGACTGGCGAGGACACTGCAGGGCTCTGGAGCATGGGGCTCGGGGCCTGTCCCCAACCCCTACACGAATTCAGGGGACCAAGAGCCCCCGAGAAGGGGCCCTGGAGGTCTCTGTGTGGAGGGCCACACAGACGTATCCCCCAGGCCTGGCCTCACTCGCTGTGTTACCCACAAGCTCCCAGAGGCAAGGACCCCGCCTTTCAGAGAAAGTGAGGCCCAGGGTGGTTACGGAGCCCAGGACCGGGGGCCCCCGAGGGCACAGCCCCCGCGGCGTCCATCCCGCCCCTGCATGGAGGGACGGCCTTCGTGCGGCGCCCGCAGTGCCCCCCCGAGTCCCGCCACCTGCGAGGACGACATGCCCGGGGGCCGACGCCGCGTGGCTCTGTGGGACCCCTGGAGGGGCGGGGCCGCCTCTGCCGCGGGCCCTCCACAGCACGCTGGGCTGCACGCCCTGGTCAGCCGGTCCCAGGCCTTGGGGAGGTAAACCGAGGCTGGGCAGAAAACTGAGGCGTGTCAGGGAAAGACGGCAGGACGGCCCTGGCCCCCCGCCGCCCTGGCAGAGCCCCCAGAGGAGGCGACGGGAAGGAAGGCGGCCCAGCAGCCGTCCCACGGGGTCGCCTCCCTGGCTTTGCCCAGACAGGCTGCAGGCCAGGCCGCGCCGAGCCGCCCGCCCACCCGGCTGGCCGTGGCACTGGCTGCCCGGTGTGGGCGGGGAGGGCGGGGAGGGCGGGCAGGAGGCGGAGCTGGCCGGCGGCAGCACCTCTGCGGTGGCCAGCCTCCACCCTGCCCTTGGCCAGCGGCAGCATGTCGGGGCGCCAGGGAGAAAGCAGGCAGGTAGGCGCCCTCCGCTGTCGGCTCCCGGGTCGGGGCAGGAGGGGCAGGTGGGCCAGGAGGGAGGAAGGGACCCGGGGCCCTGGGTCCAGCAGCCGAGCCCCAGGAGGGGCAGGTGGGGGCCCAGGGCCGGGACTCCAGGGCAGGAAGCTGGGAAGTGCCTGCGCTGGTGTGGGGGGCGGAGGGGGGAAGGGCTGTGCGCCCTCCTCGACCCGCCCTGGGTTCGGATCCAGCCCTGGCACACGGAGACCCTGAGTTGCGTGGGGCCAGAGGGACCGCGGCACCAGCCGCCAGACTGCTGAGTGCGGGGCTGTTGGGGGACCCCCGTCGCCACCGTTGTCCTGCGTCTCAGGGACGGGGAGCTGGGCCAAGAGGGTCCGGGGGTCGCACTGGGGCCTGGGGGCCCGCACAGGGGTCTGGGAGCCCACATTGGGGTCTGGGGGCTCACACTCGGGGCTGAGGGCCCGCACGGGGGGCTCTCCCAGCTCAGAGCCACTTTTCTATGATGGGGGGGCCGTCTCCCCGGCCAGTGCGCCTTTGCTGCTGGGGCTGAACACGCGCCCACCTTTCCTCTCAGGGGAGTGGGGGAGGATCCCAGCCAGGGGCCCCCAAGACCCCAGCTGCCCCACGGCCCCACCCGCTCCAGGAACAAGGGAGGCATTAAAACCGCACACCTGCTCATGCAAATCCCACGCGTTTGCATAACTTTCCCACTCGGTGGCTGCATTTGCCTGGCGTCTGCCCTGTGGTCCCCACACTCCTGCCCAAGACCAGCGGCCCCTCGGGGCGAAAGGCCGGGCGCCCCATGCAGCCTCTGCCCTGCACCGGCCTGCCTGAGGCTCCGGGGTTCGAGCGCGTGGGCGCTGTCCAGGCCCCCAGCCCCCAACCTGCACGCGGCCTGGGGCAGGGGGCCAGGTGGGGACAGATGTGGCCCTCCTCACGCCAGGCAGGCCAGTGCCGGGCGGGGTGGGGCGGGGAGCGAGGGACGTCCCTGTGGGCCCCCTCTGCCCCACCCTCCCCATCTCACTGCCCGTACTTCGGGGTTGAAGAGCGCCCCCCAAAGTTCACAACCTCGGGATGCGGCCTTGCCTGGACATAGGGCCTTTACCGGGGTGGCCAGCTAAGCGAGGCCACAGTGGAGGGGGCGGGCCCTGAGCCGACGCCCGGTGTCCCTGTGAAGAGGGAAATTTGGGCAGAGTGACACCCGGACAGGCCACGTGACGATGGAGGCAGAGAGTAGACAGACGCGGCCACCAGCCCAGGAATGAACACCTGGGGCCCCAGAAGCCCGAGGCGGCAGGGAGGCCCCTTCCCCGGAGCCTCCGGAGGGGGCACGACCCCGGGGCACCTGGACACCCCGCCTGTGGGACTTCGTGAGAGCTGCCCCCCGACACCTCCCCACCCCGACACACACACAGGCCTTGTCCCCAGACAAGGGGAACTAAAAAGCGATGCCCACTGGTACGGAGAGGCCGTATTCAAATCCTGGGGCCCGGTTCCCGGTCTGCGAGCGGGAGGCCGAGGATTTGCATCCCCCCACCCTAGGGCTGCGCCCTGGGCCTTGGGACCAAGGTGTCCGGGGCCAGGCTGCGGAGGCCCAAGGGCGGGGGGCACCCTGCGCGGCAGGCTGGGCCCGGCCCCGGTCAGCCCCGGTGCCTGGGGGCCCGCCCGCTGCGGCCCTCTGCGCGGTGTCCCGGGGCGGCCCTCACAAACGACCGCAAAAGCAACACAAAGGGCTTCTCTCGCCGTTGGGAGCCGGAAGTCCCAGATCCCAGCGTCCCGGGGCCGCGCGCCCTCGGGAAGCCTTCGGGGGGCTCCTTCCTGCTCTGGCCGCCTTCGGGGGTCCCCCGGGGCCCGGGCCGGGGCCGTGCCCCTCCCTCTGCCGCCACGGCCACACGCTTCTGCCCTCTTCTTCGAAGGCCACCGGTCCTGGGAAGAAGGCCTGCCCCAGTGGCTTCACCTTGCAAAGAGCTCATCTCCACAAAAGGCCCTGTTCCCAGGCACCAGGACTTGGGACCTGCACACACGCCTTTTTGGGAGACACGGTGGGAGGGTGGTGATGGTGCAAGTCTCTGTCCTGGCCTCAGACGCTCTGCTCCCCTGTGGCCGTCCCGCCTGCGGGCACACGGGCCGCCGGCGGGAGGAGTCTGCACTCACAGGGGGCGGAGGGCCGGGCGGGGTGATGGACAGAACCTGGGAAAGCAAGCCGGCGGGGGGGGGCTGCCGACACCCCCGGTGGGACTGGGTGGCTGTGGAGCAGCCAGCGGACCAAGTGTCACAGGTGGGCCTCTCGGGTCTCCCGGTACCCGGGCCTCGCCAGGGACACCTTTGCTCCTCGCGCGGGCAGTTTCTGGGAGGCGGTGCAGGAGCACATGCGCTGCCGCCACTTGCAGCAGGGCTGTTAGAGAGGCAGGTGCCGGGCCGCGGGGCCGCGGGGCCGCGGGGACATGGTGGCCACGGGGAGACATGGTGGCCGCAGGGGGCTGTTGGGGGAGACATGGTGACCGCGGGGCCGCGGCTGGAGGCGGGCGACGGGAGACACCGGGCGGCGGGTCAGAGGAGCAGAGCAGCCGGCCGCCGGGCAGCGGGTGGGATCGGAGGCTCGTCCCGCGGGCCCGTCCTGGGCCCCTGGCCCTTCGGGTCTCCGCTGTGTGGGGCAGGGCTCATGTACCAGACTGCGGGGGCCGCGGGGAGCTAAGGCGGGCGTGGCGCTGGGCCGAGGCCGGCGACCAGAGGTGGGGCCAGAGCCTGGTGGGAAGAGCCTCTGCTCCCGGGACCTGCAGGGCCCATTGGGCGAGGCGCCCAGCCCCTGCCAGCCCAGGCGCACCCGGGTCTCCGCCCCATCCGGGGCCGACGGGGGCGTGAGGGGGGCGGGCTGCGTGCCCAGAAGTCTGGGAGGCACCTGACGTCTCTCTGGGTTTCCAGGACACCATCCGCCGAAGCCTCCGCAGGGGCGGCCACGGCAGCGTCGAGTCTGTGGTGCCCGGCGAGGGGTGAGCAGCGGGACCGGGAGGGGGTGAGGGCGGGGTGGGGGCTCACGGCGTGTCCCCTAGCCCCGCCCCGCTGCGTGGGGCTCCAGGGACAGCGCTGGCCGGGGATGAGGCTCCCTGCTGGGGCTCGGGGGGGCCCTCTGCCTGCCCATGGGGGCAGCCCCCGCCTCCGGTGGTGGGGGGGCGGCTGCATGCCCCTCTCATGCCCTCTGTCCCCGCAGAGCGGCCCCCATGATGGATGCGGGGGGCACTGGAGACCGGCCAGAGCCAGGGCCAGGCCTGCGCCGGGGCGAGATCCAGTTCGGGGGGTGCGGGAAGAAGCGAGGCAGGGTGAGCCCCCCCGACCCCGGCCCGTGACCGCACGCCATGAGATAGCAGGGACCCCCGGCCCCCATTTCCCACTCCCTCCCCTGAGCAGCGAGCGCCCCAGCGCCCGCTCCGCTCCCCAGGGCGGCCGGCCTGGGGGCCCTGCTCAGAGCCCCGCCCCCGCAGCGTGTCCCGCACCCCCCCACCCGCCCCCCGTCGCCTCTCCTCGAGGCAGAGGCGAGGCCCGGGCTGGGGTCCGGGCTGGGGTCCGGGCCGCCCAGGTCCCGTCGCAGGTCAAGGGTGGGAGACCTGCTCGGCCCCCTCGCCCGGCGCCCTGTGCCGAGGCTGCCGCCCCTGCCCTGCAGTTCGTGAAGGTGCCGAGCGACGTGTCCCCCGCTGTGCTCTTTGACCTCCTGAGAGCCGAGTGGCACCTGCCGGCCCCCAACCTCGTGGTGTCCCTGGTGGGCATGGAGCGGCCTTTCACCATGAAGTCCTGGCTGCGGGACATCCTGCGCAAGGGGCTGGTGACGGCAGCTCAGAGCACAGGTGAGGCCCCGCGGCCCCGAGCGTGGCCGCCCCCCACGGGCTCCGGCGCCCCTGCCTCGGCCTGGGTGCCCCCGGCGGTGGCGGGAAAGCTCCTGGGGAGGCAGCAGAGGGGCTGGGGGACCCCCAGGTCCGGAGCCTCCCCCAGGGGGCCCTGGCCACGCTGCGAGCAGAGGCCCAGCCCAACTGCTCGCTCGTAGAGCCCAGAGGCCTCAGCGAGACGCCCCTGGGCACAGAGAGTTTCTACACCCGCCCCTCACCCCCTCGGGCTCCCTCCGGGGGCCACTCTGGCCGGCCCCTGTCGGGGTCAGAATCAAGTCACGGGGTTTTGCCTTCGGGCCCCGGGGTCTCAGAAAGCCCAGCCCAGGAAGGCGAAGGACCTGAAAGCCAGGCCGGGGGCCGGGGCCGGGCCGCTTGGGAAACCTCCCCGGGTCCAGGGCCTGGCCCGCCCTGCGCTGGCCGGGACGCACCGGGCCACAGCCAGCCCCTGCCCGCAGGCGCCTGGATCCTGACCAGCGCGCTCCGGGCGGGCCTCACCCGGCACATCGGGCAGGCGGTGCGCGACCACTCGCTGGCCAGCACGTCCCCCAAGGCCCGCGTGGTGGCCATCGGCATCGCCTCCCTGGGCCGCGTGCTGTACCGTCAGCTTCTGGACGGCGCCCAGGTGAGCCAGGGCCCGGGAGGGGTCGCAGCTCCCACGTAGCGCCCGCCCCAGGGTGGGTGGAGGCCCCCAGAGGGTCTTGCAGGCTGATGACGCGCCACCGCCCGCTGTTGGTCGTTGAGCGAACGTTTCCCAGGCTGGCCCACCGTGCGCAGGCCAGACCCTGCCCTCGGGGCTCGGGGCTGCGGAGAGCCAGGCCCCGAGCCCCAAGGGCGCAACCCTGAGAGGCAGAGGGGACGGGCCCAGGGAGCGCGGAGCCCAGCCCACGGCCAGCAGGTGGCAGCACAGACCGGGCCGGGGCTCCGAGGCCCCAGGCCCCAGCCCCGCATGGAGCCCCGACGCCTGCCGTGGCCCCTACCCCGCAGGCCTGGGCGAGGGGCCTCTGCTCCCGCCCCAGGGTCTGCCTGAGGTGGGGCCAGAGGGCGCCCAGTAGCCCCGCGAGCGGAGCCTCCCGCAGCCCTGAGTCCTTCCCAGGGGGCCCCCCGGGGGCGGGGCGGGAATGGGCCTGGGCAAAGCCTCGCCCCGACCTCACGTTGTGCGCGGGGCCCAGGAGCACAGCCCTGTCCACTACCCCATGCACGACGGCGGAGGCGGGGGCCCCCTCTGGCCCCTGGACAACAACCACTCCCACTTCATCCTGGTGGAGCCGGGCGCCCCTGGGGAGGTGGACGGGCCGACGGAGCTGTGGCTGCGGCTGGAGAGGCACATCTCGGAGCAGAGGACCGGCTACGGGGGTGAGGCCCAGGGAGGCCGCCGGGGGCCACGGGGGGCGCCGGAGCGTGGAGACCAGGGACCCGCTGGGGCCTGGGCCGGGGGGCGGCCAGCTGGGGTGCGGGGGTGCGGCTGGGGGGCCCCCTCCCAGGAGAGGTGGCAGGTCCATGTCCCTGGGGCCTCGGCTGACCAGAGGCTCTGGTCAGTGGGGGGCCGGGAAGGTCTCGGGCTTGGGAGGACATGAGATTTCCACGTTTGCAAAGCCTCTTTTCCCCTCCACCGGCAATGCCTGTGCTGCCACCAGGGGGCAGTGCCGCCCAAGGAATGGGCTGCTGTGGGGGTCACGCGCTGGATCCAGTGAGGAACACTGAGGCGTAGCTGACGTTCATAAGCAAGATGTAGAATTGCTTGTGATGTTACCAACGATACAAAAAGCTTATCCGCTGAGTACTCATTAAAGATGAAAACATGACGGGTGTTTAAACCAACACCACGCGGCACGAAGCCGCGCCCGGGGCTGCTGAGGCCTGGCCGGGCGGGCGTCTTGGTGCCTCCTCGGGGTCAGCAGGCACCTTTGGGAATCAGAGGGGGCCCTGCCCAGCAGCTGCGGCTCCTCCCACCCACAGGCCCGGTGGGGCCCGGTGTGTCCAGGGGACTGTTTCCCAGGGGAGTCTCGCTTGTGGTCTGCGTTTGCGCGGGAGGAGCCTCCCAGGCGGACCCTTCGGCCCTTCTGTCCACGGGGTGAACAGAGCATCTGCCACGATGGGAACGCAGCCGGTGCGGCCCGGGGCCGAGTGTTCAGCTGCGCTTCTATGACTTTGTTTCCATGGCCACAAAGCGGCCACGTTGGACACTGGGGTGGGGCAGGGGTTGGGAAGGGGCTTGGTGTCCTCGTCCCCAGGGCCTCTGATCCACGGCCCCTGGTTTCAGCCTGGAGCCCACACTTCCCCAGAAATGGCCTCTTGGCCGGTGTTTGCTCAGAACCCGAGGCAGGGTGATGGCCGAGGCCTGGGAGCTCGCCCCTCCGGCCCACGGGGGGTCCCAGGCTCCCCGCCGGCCCCAGGCACGTTGCACGGGGGCCTCACAGGCGCTCCACCCACAGGGACCGGCAGCATCGAGATCCCTGTCCTGTGCCTGCTGGTCAACGGCGACCCCGGCACCCTGGAGGTAGGGGCGCTGGGGCCTGCTGCAGGTCCCCGCCAGGACAGGGCGGGGAAGCGGGCCGGGCGGCACCAGCTGCTGACCGGGTCCTCTCCCCCTGCGTCCAGAGGATTTCCCGGGCCACGGAGCTGGCCGCCCCCTGGCTGATCCTGGCGGGCTCGGGGGGCGTGGCGGACGTGCTGGCTGCGCTGCTCAGCCAGCCGCGCCTCCTGGTGCCCCAGGTGGTGGAGAAGCAGCTCAGAGAGAAGTTCCCCGGCGAGCATTTCTCCTGGGAGGACATTCTGCACTGGACGGAGCTGGTAGGGCCCCCCGCCCCGAGGCCAGAGGCCGGTCTGGAAGGCGGCCCCCATTCCCCTGTGCACCCCGCTCCTGGGCGGGGCTGGCCCTTGGGGAGGCGCTCTGCCCCCTTCCCACCCAGATGGGCCCAGCCCATCTGAACGCAGGGCCCCCACGTTTGCGGTAGCTTTGGGCACTGAGGCAGCGGGGGCCCGGGAGCAAGCCCCCGGTTTGCCATGGGCGTCGGGCGCACGGGGAGGCAGGCTGGCGCTCTCGGCTGGGGCTCACAGCTGCGCGGCTCAGCCCCGGCCCGGCCCGGGGGCCACCTCCCGTGTCCTGGTGTTGCAGCTGCAGAACATCGCCTCCCACCCGCACCTGCTTACCGTGCACGACTTCGAGCAGGAGGGCTCCGAGGGGCTGGACACCGTGATCCTCAAGGCGCTGGTGAAAGGTGTGGCGGGGCGGCCGGCGCGGGCGGCGCCCGGGCACGCGGGTCCTGTCTGCTTCCTGGCTCCGGGGCTTTTTATTGGCCATGAGCACGTGCCCGGGGCCGACGCTGGCCGCCCACCCGGGCCCCGGCGGGGAGGGGTCGCCCCCTCGTTTCGCCCGTTGCGCCGAGGCGCGTTCCTGCCCGGTCTCCCAGCGCTGGCTCGTGGGCACCTGCGGCGTCGTGCCCCCTTGCCGTTATTCAGCAGGGACGCAGCAGGGCAGAGGGCCGGGGGCCGTGTCCCTAGAAGAGCCCCCCGGAGGGACCCCGGTCCACTCACCCCGGCCCCTGCCTGCAGCCTGCAAGAGCCACAGCCAGGAGCCGCGGGACTACCTGGACGAGCTCAAGCTGGCCGTGGCCTGGGACCGCGTGGACATCGCCAAGAGCGAGATCTTCAATGGGGACGTGGAGTGGAAGGTGCCCTGCCCCCTCCCCGGGCCCCTGCTTCTGGGCAGTGGAGGGCAGGGCTGGGGGGCAGGCGGTGTCCTGAGGGCCGCCATCCCCCTCCGCCCGGGGTGGCTGAGGGGGGCGGGCCCCACTTCCGTCCCCTGAGCCCTCCCCCGACGGGTGCGCTGAACAGTCCTCAGCTGCGGGCCGCGCCCCGGCCCCAGGGACGGGCGGCGCGCCCGGAAGTGGGTGCTGTGCCGAGGGCCCCCGCTCCAGCGGCTCCCGCTCACCCGCCCCCTGTCCCCAACTTGGCTCGTCCCCGCGGCCCCCAGTCCCGCGACCTGGAGGAGGTGATGATGGACGCGCTGGTGAGCGACAAGCCGGAGTTCGTGCGCCTCTTCGTGGACCACGGCATGGACGTGGCCGACTTCCTGACCTACGGGCGGCTGCAGCAGCTGTACCAGGCCGTGCCCCCCAAGAGCCTGCTCTTCGCGCTGCTGCAGCGCAAGGCCGAGGAGGGCCGCCCGGCGCCGCTTGCCCGGGGGGCGCCGCCCGCGGCGCCGCCCGCCTTCTCCCTGCACGAGGTGTCCCGCGTGCTCAAGGACTTTCTGCGCGACGCCTGCCGGGGGCTCTACCAGGTGAGCGGGGCGCAGGAGGCTGGGCCGGCGCCACGGCCAGGGCTGACCCCCGTGTCCCCCAGGAGAGGGGCCCGGCCCGGAGGCCCGCCGGCCAGAAGGGGCTGCTGGACCTGAGCCAGAGGAGCGAGAGCCCGTGGCGGGACCTGTTCCTGTGGGCCGTGCTGCAAGGCCGCCACGAGATGGCCACCTACTTCTGGGCCATGGTGAGGGGCGGCCACGCTCCGCGCAGCCTGGGCTCCCGGGGACCCCAGCGCCCCAGGGCGGCGGGTGGCCAGCCTGCTCAGACAGTCTCCTAGGGCCAAGAGGGTGTGGCCACCGCTCTGGCCGCCTGCAAGATCCTCAGAGAGATGTCCCACCTGGAGGCGGAGACGGAGGGGGCCCACGCCACGCGCGGGGCGGCGTACGAGCAGCTGGCCCTGGGTGAGCGCCGGCCGGCATCGGACGGACCCACGCGGGGCGGGCCCCGGGTCACCCCAGTGCCCCTTCTGGGCCTACGGGCTCCTCCCAGCAGGAGCCGGAACGTCCCAACGGAGGGACTCAGGGGCACCCTGATGACGGCACAGCCCCACGCCCTGGACACGCGGGCCCCGGGGGCGGGGGCGGGGCCGTGGAGGGTCCGACAGGGCGGGGGCGGCAGGACCCGTGGCGCCCGGTGCCAGCGCCGGCCCGGCGCGGGCAGGCCTCTTCTCCGAGTGCTACAGCAACAACGAGGACCGCGCCTTCGCCCTGCTGGTGCGCCGCAGCCGCTGCTGGAGCAGGGCCACCTGCCTGCACCTGGCCACCGAGGCCGACACCAAGGCCTTCTTCGCCCACGAAGGGGTGCAGGTGAGCAGAGGCCGCTGGCCTCCCGCGGGGGCCGAGACCAACAGGGGGTGCCCTGCGACCTCGTCGCCTCCCCTGGTCGGCAGCCGCCCCCTTGCTCCCCGTGTCCCAGCCGCGTGCAGCGGGGATCACAGGACAGGGGCGTTCCGCTTCCGGAAGGTGCCCTCCCGGCCTCCTCCACTGGCCGCTGTGCCGCCTGCCCCACGGCCGCCTCGGGTCACAGCCGAAGGGCCACTTCCTCACCCCGGCCCTCCCGGGTCCCTGGGCCCTGCCCGCCCGCATGGACGGTCCTTGCCCACCAGTGTGGAGGCCCCAGGAGGCAGGGCAGGGGAAGGGGGCTTCAGCGGAGCCCTGCAGGGCATGCCGGGCACAGGGCACAGCGCGGGCAGAGGTGGGGGGAGGCCGCAGCCGCGCCTTTATTCCAGGCCTTCCTGACCAAGATCTGGTGGGGGGACATGGCTGCGGGCACGTCCGTCCTGCGGCTGCTGGGCGCCTTCCTCTGCCCCGCCCTCCTCTACACCAGCCTCATCACCTTCAGGTACGTGAGGCCGCCACCTGCCAGCTGGGGCCTCCGGCGGGGGCGGGGGCCTGGGACTTCGTGGGTCCCGCCGGGCACAGCCTCGCCCTGCACGCCTCCTCCACGCACCCTGCACTTTCTTGAAGGCCAGGCACCTCTGGGTGTCCCTCCCTGGGCCCTGAGGGTCCCCTGTGCTTGCAGAGAGGAGGCCCCCCTGAGGGAGAGCCAGGAGGACCTGCAGGAGCCGGACAGCCTGGACACCGAGCGGAGGCTGCTCTGCAGGCCTGGCAGCGGGTGAGGCCGCCGGGGATGGGCAGGCGGGGCCCGGCAGTGGCCATGGGGCGGCCGGGCTCCCCCCTCACCGTGGGCCGTGGCCTCCCCGTGCTGCAGGGCGGAACAGCTGGCCGCAGCGCCGAGGACCCGGGGCAGGCGAGGGCCCCGGGCGGCCTCCCTGCTGGCGCGCTGGCGGAAGTTCTGGGGCGCTCCGGTGACCGTGTTCCTGGGGAACGTGCTCATGTACTTTGCCTTCCTCTTCCTCTTCACCTACGTCTTGCTGGTGGACTTCAGGCCCCCGCCTCAGGGGCCCTCAGGGCCTGAGGTCACCCTTTACTTCTGGGTCTTCACCCTGGTGCTGGAGGAGATCCGGCAGGTGAGGGGTCCGCCCTGGCCCCCGTCCCCACCCCGGCCCCGGCCTGGGCAGGCGTCTCCGAGGTGGGGGCCCAGGCAGACGTCTGCGGACCGTCCGCCCCTGCCAGGGCTTCTTCACGGACGAGGACACGCACCTGATGAAGAAGTTCACGCTCTACGTGGAGGACAACTGGAACAAGTGCGACATGGTGGCCATCTTCCTGTTCATCATCGGCGTCGCCTGCAGGTCTGCGGGGCCCGGGGCGCAGCATAGGCGGAGCCCCGCGTCTCCCCGGCGCCTGTGCTCTGTGTCCTGGGGAGCCCCTCCCCAGCTCCGGCCGTCCCCCCACCCCTGCCCCCAGGATGCTGCCCGCGGTGTTCGAGGCCGGCCGCACGGTCCTGGCCATCGACTTCATGGTGTTCGCACTCCGCCTCATCCACATCTTCGCCGTCCACAAGCAGCTGGGCCCCAAGATCATCATCGTGGAGCGCATGGTGAGCCCCGCCCCGGCGGCCCCACGGCGACGCTGGGGGCGCCCCCGCCGCCGCCCCGGGCTGCTGACGCTTCTCTCCCACCCCGGCCCCAGATGAAGGACGTCTTCTTCTTCCTCTTCTTCCTGAGCGTGTGGCTCGTGGCCTACGGCGTGGCGACTCAGGCGCTGCTGCACCCGCACGACAGCCGCCTGGAGTGGGTGTTCCGCCGCGTGCTCTACCGGCCCTACCTGCAGATCTTCGGGCAGATCCCGCTGGACGAGATCGACGGTCAGCGCCGGCCGGGGGCGGGGCGCGCCTCGGGCTGCTTCAGAGGGGCCCGCCCGGTGCCGGCACCCTGGGTCCCCGCGACCACGGTTCCTCCCGCAAGCCCCAGGACGCGTGGTCCTTGAGACCCCGGGCGGGAGCTGGTGAGAGCAGGGAAGTCCCTGAGCCCGGCCCCCAGGCCCTGCGCACGGCATGGGACCGGCCACAGAGCCGCCCTCAGGCCCGGGGCTGCAGGCTGAGACGAGCAGGGGCCTCAAGGCGGCAGAGGGGCGGACCCCCCGGGGGCTGCCGTGCTCTGGGCGGTCTGAGTCGGCAGCGGGTGGACGCTGTTCGCATGCAGGGGACCATCCCCGTCCGCCCCGATCATCTGGGCCCCCCCGGATGGCCCCGCGCCCCTGGGCCTTTGCTCTCCTGCGTGGCCCTGCTGGGCGGCCAGGCTCCCTGTCCCCTGCCCGTGCAGGCCCAGCGCCCGGCCCTGGGCCCCCATTAGAAAGGCTGCACTGCCCAGCTGTGCTGGTGGCGCTCTTGCTCCCCCTGGGCCACCCACGTGCGCCCTGCCTGTGGCCGGCTGTGCGGCCTGTCCGAGGGCACGGGGCCTCCACGCCGGCCCTGCGCCGGCTGCGGGGCTGGGGGAGGCTCTGAGAATTTCCCACACCGGGAACTGCACTGCCTGGCCATGAGCTGCAGGTGACTCCTGGGTGAGGGACGGGGACCCCACGGGGCCCCCAGGATGGCCGGGGTCCGTGAGGAGGAACGGAGGGAGGGGGCTGGCCCTGGACGAAGGTGGCCGGCGCCAGGTGCCAGTGTGAGAGGCCCAGGGCGCCGGCCCCCGGGACACTCCTGGGGCCCAGAGTGGGGGTGGCGGGGCCGCCGGGCGATCACAGGCGCGCTGGGGCTCGGAGGCTGACCCTGACCGTCGCAGCCAACGAAGCAAAGACTGGCGGTAAATGTTTGCCAAGGGACTGACGCGTGATTGAAGCAAACGAGCTGGCGGGGCGGGGCGGGGGGCTGCGCCGTCCCGGAGGTCGCCTCCCGGGTGGCGTGTCCGAGGGGCCCATCTCCCCGGGCTGTTGGCTCAGCCCCCCGCCTCCCGTGGCGCCTTCTCTGAGTCCGCTCATCCGCGGCGGCGCTTTTCCAGACCATTAGTCAGCCAGACCCTGCTGCCCTCGCCGCTCAGCCCCAGCCGGGTGCCCCGCTGTGACCCTCGGGTGGGAGCAGGGCGGGGGCGAGGGGGCGCCTCCGGTGCCGGGCGGGGGGCACGCCACCCCAGTGCCGGCTCCCCTGGCCCAGCCAGCCTTAGCCACAGGCTGGTATGGGGGGGTAGTACGCTGTAGGGCCCCGGGGGGGGGCAGGGGGCGTACTGGCTCCCCACGGGGTCCAACACCCCAGAAAATCCCGGCAGAGCCGCTGCGGCTGGGCAGGCAGAATCCCACAGCGGGGCCTGGGGCACAGCTTGGTCTCTTGGGGTTGTACCCTGGCTGCTCCCCGTGAGCCCACTGGGCTATGGGGTAGAGAGCCACTCACTACCCCACGGGTCAAGAGGGAGACCGCGGCTCGGGCAGCCCCGGCCTGCGCCCCCCTGGGCTGAGGGCGGCCTCCCTGCTTTACCAGCCGGGCGGGAGGGAGCCCTGGGGCCGAGCGGTGACAGCGAAGGTCCTTCTCTGGGCTCCAGGCCCCGGGGACAATTCAATTTCCTGCCTGGCCGGATGGCGCCTAGGTGCGTCACTGCCAACCTCAGGGGTCTCACTCAGGACAGCAGAGCCGCTTTTATCAGATTTACAGCTTCAAACCCTGCGCCACCCAGAGCGGGTGAGGCCTCTCTCGGGAGCCTGTGCAGGCAGAGAAGGGTCAGGAATCGCCCCGGGAGGAGAGGAAGGCGGGGGGTGGGGAGAGGCGGCGGCTGCACGCCGCCCTTGGAGAACCCCGGAGAACCCCGGAGAAGAGGGAGGGCGCCCCGTGGGGAAGCACGGACACATGGGAGCACGTGTGCACACTGGCGGGACATGGCACACCGGGCCGCAGGGCTCAGTCACGGCCTGGACAAGCCCGTCACGCACACTCCCCCCATGATGAGGTGCTGTGCAACCGGGGCCACCGCGGACCCCTACTCCTGTGGGCTGGGCGGGGTCCAGGGCCGGCCCTCTGGGCGAGGGGCAGGAGCTCTGACCCTCTGGGCGTCCAGGCCCAGGGCGGGGAGCCTGGCCTGCTCCCGGGCGGCGTTCCCCGTGCCAGGTGTCAGCGCCGCGAAAGCCCTGAGCAGCCGCCCGCTGAGGACGCCGTCCGCCCCGCCCTCCCCAGCCCGGCTCTGGGCAGAGCCTTGGGGGGTGAGGGGCTCCCTAGGCCACACAGCAGCCAGCCAACACCCAGGGCCCCCGCCCACCCCCGCCCACCCCCGCCCGGCCCTAGCTGTGCCTCCGGAGCCTGTGGCCCCGGCCGAGGCTGCAGCCTGGCAGAGGTGGGCAGGTGGGGCCAGGCTGGCCATCCTGTTTGCCGGGGACTGGGGCGTCCCATGGCGGGGGCACTTCCAGCACCAACACCCCATCATACCCAGAAAGCCAGGGGTTAGGCACCAGGCCAGCGCCCCGCGCCCCGGGCGGCCTGGGCCTCAGGGAGAAGCGGCTGCCGCCTGGGCGCTGGCGCCTGGCCCCACCGCCCGGCTTGCCTTGCAGAGGCCCGCGTGAACTGCTCCGCGCACCCGCTGCTGCTGGAGGGCTCGCCCTCCTGCCCCAACCTCTACGCCAACTGGCTGGTCATCCTTCTGCTGGTCACCTTCCTGCTGGTCACCAACGTGCTGCTCATGAACCTGCTCATTGCCATGTTCAGGTGCCCTTTCCGGCCCACCCACTGTGGGTAGCGCCGGCCAGCTCCCCCCTCCAGCCCGGGGGCCCGAGCAGGGGGGGCCTGAGCAGGACAGGCCCAGGTTGGGGGGCATCGCCTCCAACACTGGCTGCCACCACCCCGCCCCTCGTGAGGCCTGGGGTGTAGGCTGTGGGGGGCGGGCCCCGGGAGGCGGCACACCCAGCAAGGGTGGGGTGGAGGGGGCGCCCCCCTGGCCCACGCGGGGCCTGGGTCTCAAGGCGGGGCGTGTGGCGGTGAGTCCAGGGCAGCCGAGGGGGTGCGGGCGGCTCCGGACGAGTGGGCCCCACTCTGGATGTGCCCCCACGGAAACGAGCCGTTTGAGGAGGGGGTGGGGGGCCTCGGTTTCGGAAGGGCCCCCCGGGCTCAGGCTGTCCGGGGCGCCACAGCTACACGTTCCAGATGGTGCAGGGCAACGCGGACATGTTCTGGAGGTTCCAGCGCTACCACCTCATCATGGAGTACCGGGAGCGCCCTGCGCTGGCCCCGCCGTTCATCCTGTTCAGCCACCTGAGCCTGGTGCTCAAGAGGGTCTTCCGAAAGGAGGCCGGGCAGAAGCGGGCACGCCTGGGTGAGGCCGCGGCGGGGGCCGGCAGGCGGGGCTGGGCCGGGGCGGGCACCGCCGGGGTGGCTGAGCCGCCCTGGGCTCCCCGCCCCGCTGCAGGCCGGCCGGGGCTCCATCCCCTGGGCCCGCCGGCCCGAGTCAAGCCCGCGGCTGCCTGGCCTCCCCAGAGAGAGACCTGCCGGAGCCCCTGGACCAGAAGATGGTCACCTGGGAGGCGGTGCAGAAGGAGAGCTACCTGAGCAAGCTGGAGAAGCGCAGGAGGGACAGCGAGGAGGAGGTGCTGCGGAGGACCGCCCACAGGTGCGCGGGCGGCGGCAGCGGGCTGGGGCTGGCGCGAGGGCCCCTGCCATCACTGCCGCTGGCTCGCAGGGCGAGCTGGGGAAACCGAGGCTGGCTGGGCAGGGAAGGGCCAAGCACCCGGCCCCCTGACCCTGAACAGGGCCCGGCTGGGCCTCGCCTGCCCTGCGCTTGGGGGAAGGGGCCAACCTGCGCGGTGCCCTCCCTGCCCTGGGGCCTCCGGGCGGCCCTGGCCCCTCCTCGCTCCCTCCGGGCGCCCCGGGGCGCTGCCTCCCCAGGCCGCCCTAGGCCCCATCCCGGGCCTGCAGGCGGGGCGGTCCTGCCCTCTCTCAGGAGGGCGCTCAGTCCCCACCGTGCGTGCAGGGGGTCGCGGAGGTGCTGGGCACCCAGGGCTGGGGCGAGGGGAAGGCCCAGAGCACCCCGGGCTCAGGGGCCCTGGGGGCCTCAGTGACCCCCAGGGCCTGGGTGACAGAGCGAGGGAGAAGAGGAGAGTCCCCAGGTTCAGTGTCCTGTGGCTGACTGTCCCCACCCTGCCACAGGGTTGACATGATGGCCAAGCACCTCGGGGGGCTGAGAGAGCAAGAGAAGCGCATCCGGGGCCTGGAGTCACAGGTGGGCCGCGCGCCAGGCACGGGCAGCCCCCCGGCCACCTCCCAACCCACCTCAGCGCGCGGGGGGGGCGGAGCCCAGGGGGTTCCGGGACACCCCCCCCCCCGCCCAGCACCCATCCTGCCTTGCCCAGCACTGAGAGACGGGGCACCCTCCCCGGAGGGGTCCTGCACAGCCCCTCGAAGTGGGCTCTGCAGGCAGCGGGAACCGCAGCCTGCCACCCGCTGCCCCGGGGGCAGACAGAGGGAGGGGCCCCGGGCAGGCGAGGTGACGCGGACGGGAGGGTGCCTGAGCGCCCTGCTGGCCCCAGAGCACTGGGGCTCGGCCGAGGCCTCCCCTGGACACCTCTCGCTCTGGCAGGTCAACTGCTGCACGGCCCTGCTGTCCTCCCTGGCCGACAGGCTGGCCCAGGGCACTGCCATCCCCGGTAAGTGTGGGTCTGCGGGGCCCTGCGGGGCCCTGCGGGGCCGGCTGCCTCCCCTGCCCGGGTGGGGTCCCACCCAGGCCTCTGACGGCCCTTGGCTGGCATGGAACAGATGCCCTCTGACCCTGCCAAACACGAGGGCATAGCCTTTAGGACCCCCAGGCCCGCCCTGGCCGTCCCCTCAGGGTTCCGGATCCCTGCTCTCCTCGGGGCACCCCCCTTGGCCTGGGCACCCGTCTGCTGAGTGCCCTTCCTTCCCCACCAGATGCCCGGAACCCTGGCACCAGAAGCCACCAGGCCCCTGCCGGGCCTGGAAGGGGCCCAGGGTGCAGGGAGCACCTGCAGGCGAGCCCGCTGCCCTCGGACACCTGAGCCACTGGACTGTCAGCGCAGGCGCCCCCTCCCGGAGCCCACAGCCTGGCCCTCTGGACCAGACCAGGGCGGGCAGGGGGACCATGGCCCCCAGCTGGTGACCCCAGGTCCAACCAAGACCCTACTCCCCATCCCCACCCCGAGGCCTCGTCAAAAGGGAGCCCTCCACGCCCTGCCTGGCCCCTCCCAGGCCTCTCTCGGCCCAGGGGCTGCACGCAGGCCTGCCCCCCGAGCGCTGGCACTTCTCAGAGCCCGCCCTCGCTGAGTGGACAGCAGCGCTCAGCCTGTGTTGCCTAAAAAACTGGTTTTGGCACGCCACGGTTGAGAGTTCCAGTCCTTTAAGACTCGCGCCGGGGTGTCTGCTGTGTTGGTTCCCACCCCTGAGCCCCCGGAGCTCACACAGGGTGCGGCGGACAGCGCGGGCCTGGGCAGCAGCCCCAGGACGCCGCCCCCACCCCACAGGTCAAGGTGGGCCCCCCTCCCGCCAGCCCCAGGGGAGCCGCGCCCACCCAGGGGCCTCCCCGGCACACTGGGGCCTCCCTCCTTCCCTGCCGGTGGATCTGCCACGTGCAACCCAGCCAGCTGGGTGCCGCGGGCCCAGGACGCCGGCCGCCTTCACATGGGGCCTGGGCAGGACAGAGCAGAGGGCACACTGGGCTAGGGCCAGGGGGGCCCCGCCCCGCGGTCAGCAGGCCCCTGGGGCACAGGCCAGGCGCCTGAGGCCGTGAGCCCGGCCTTGTAGGGGCCCCTCAGTCCGTTTGGGAAGAGCAGCTGCGGACAGGTACAGCTGGCGATTCAGAAGCTCCCCGCGCCTGCTGCACTGACTCAGGAGGCGCACAGCGGGAGCGGGTCATCAGCCAGATGGGCTGGACGGCCACAGCCACGGCCACGCGGGTCCTGGGGGTGGACGGGGCCGGTCACACAGAGACGCTGAGCCTGAGGAATATCCAGAAGCTTTACTGTTCCCCCACGGGTGCCCAGACGGCCAGGGCCGCCGCCATCCCCTTGGCAAGGTCTCTGCTCCCAAGACCATACTGCCTGAGCCCCAGCTGGGGCCGCCTACAGGCAGCCCACCGGCTCCCTGCCCAAGGGGCCAGCCTCCTACAGCCGGGCAGTCTCCCAGGTCAGACCTCGGCCCCCGGGGCCTCCTTGTCGCTGCTCTTGTTCCGGAAGTGGTCTCTACTCCGCTTCCTGCTGCTCTGGAAGCCGACACTCTCCACCACGGAGGGGCCTGCTGCTGGCCCGCGGTGGGGGGCCCCCTCGGGCAGGCCGCCCCACTCCTCAGCCTCCGGGCTCCCGGGCCGGGCCAGGTGGGCCAGCTCCACCGACGCCTCGCCCCGGCCCGGCTCTCCCGCCTTCCTGGGGACCCGCTTCCGCTCGGGTCTGGCCTCTGCGGCCCGGGCGGGTTTGGTGAAGATGACTCTGCCCTCCCCGCAGCTGGAGGGGTCCTGGTTGAAGGAGGACACGCAGTTGCTGGGGGGGTCCAGGCTCCGGGGGCCCAGGAAGTCCAGGGCGGCAGCCCGGTTGCTCTGCTCACTGGCCTCAGCCACGTCCTCCAGGCTGTACTTGGTCCAGCGCTCAGGGTGGGCCACGTAGTCGGGGACGGGGGGCGCCCTTGGAGGGACAGGGCTCGGACTGGCTCTGCCTGGGCACTTTGCTAAAGGCTGGCTCGAGGGCGCCAGGGGCCGTTTGAAGCCTCCATGGTGGCCGGGGCTGGTCTGGAGCCCCACGTGCGACGCCTGCCTGGCCACGCCCTCCAGGCAGTCAAAGATGCTGCGACTGCGCTGGGAGAAGGAGCTGCTGGCGCCCCGCAGGTGGAAAGGCTGTGCTGCGGCTGCGGGGAGGCCCCTCGGCGGCGAGGGGGGCTCCTCGGGGCCCGAGTCCCCCTCGGCCTCCACGGGCAGCTCCTCCGGGGACCGGGCCTCCAGCTCGGCGCTGCCAGGCAGGCTGAGATCGGAGTCCGAGTCACTGAGGGAAGCGGTGTCCGAAGGCAGGGCGTCACACGGTGTCTCTTGCTCTACCTCCACGCCGGGGGCGGGCTCACCTGCCCCCACCTCAGCCATGGGCCCCGAGGCCGCAGCGCACCTAGACCAAAACAGCCCCTGGAGTTTCTTTCTGAGGCCAGCGTGCGGGTCAAAGCCCCTGCCCCCAGCACCCGCCCGCCCACCCCGGAGAGCCCGCTCCTCACCTTCCCGTGCGCTGGATGCCAGTGCGGACGCCTGGCGGCTGATGGGCAGAGCGCAGGCACAGGTGGCGGAGGCCAGGTGGTGGCCTCAGCCCCGCAGTGCCCAGCTCAGCTCTGCTCAGAGGCTCCGCTGTAGCTGAGGGAGGGAGGGAGCGACAGCCGACCATCAGACCAGAGAGTGAACGTGCAGGAGAGACACCACGACCCGGGGAGCAGCACAGGCCAGGGAGCGGGTCCCCTGACACGTCCTCTCCGTCAGTCCCAACGATCCTCTCCAGCTAGGTCTGAACGGGCCGACGAGGGAACCAGCAGCCAGCGGGGCCCACCCAGGGCCAAAGGCAGCCCCGGCCCCTCAGGAGCACCGCGGCCAGGTGGGACCACCCACAGGCTGCTGGGCGTGGCGCGCGGCGAGTGCTCCAGGGAGGCGGGGGCACCTGCCTGGCCTGCAGGAAGGTTTGCTGCTCTTTGCTGGGAGAGGCTGAGCGCTCCAGAGGGGTCTGCAGCCAAGTCCTGGACACCTGAGGGTCAAGCTCTCAGGGAACAGGGGTGCGACCACCTGGAGCAACTTCCAAGGGCACTTCTCCTGCAGCCCTCCCCCGGCCCCCACCTTCCCCAGCTGAGCACAGACGTGCTGTCAGCGGGTGTCTAGTGGCCAAGCGCGGCCAGGCCGAGAGGGCAGCCCAGCCTCACCCTTCTGCGCGGCTCTGGGCACCCCACCCGCCAACTCCTTCTTCCTCTGCACCAAGTCCTGCACGCCCAGGGTGACCCGTTGCTGGTGAACCCACCAACCCAGGCCAGGCAAATCTGGAGGGATGGGGCGTCTCAATGCCCTGCACAAGTCAAACACAGGCTAGATCTCCGTTCCCCTGGGGCTCAGCTCCCCAAAACAAAGCACACCTCCAGGAGAGAAGGGGAGCACGGAGCACAGCACGCGGTGTCGGCCTGAGAGGGCAGGGCCAGCAGGGGCGGCATCTACCCCTCGTATACAGTGTGCTGAGGCAATACTGGGATTTCACACTCTTGTCCGCCGCACCGCCGGGGACGCCACCGCCAAAAAGCAGCCTAAGCAGTGGGACATTCCGTGGGGGAGACGGGGACGAAGCCCCAGGAGAAGGGGCCTAACCCTAACTCAGAGGAGAGCAAATCTGCGTCCAGGCTGCGAGGCTGGGGACGGAGGTTCTGTAAGGGCCCGGGTATGGACAGGCAGATCCCAGGGAGCGGGACCCCCAACTTCCTTCCACTCTCTTCCCCATTGGAGGTAGAGCCTGACTTTCCGCACAGGATGTGCCCAGAGCCTCGCCCCATGCCCGGAAGGCTCTCCCCATCGGGGACCTGGGTCTCGGGCCAAGTCGAGCTAGACAGGCCACGGTCCCAGAGGCCGGGCACCGAGGCACGGGAGTCTCGGGGCAGTAGGCCGTGCAGCGAGGGCTACCCGAGCAGCGACGGGCCGGCCCCGCCATCCTCCCGCTACACAAACCTACTGTACTACTGCTGGCCGGCCGTCTCCATCTTGTGTCACGCTCGGCCCTCTGGGAAACCGAGTCCGTCGTCGGCCGAGCGCCACGGCTGCCGCGCCTGAAGAACTACATCTCCCACAAGACACCGGGCCGCGACTCCCAAGACCTATGGGTGCGCATGCGCCCTTTCCCTAGCTTCGCCTCCCCGGAAATGGCGGCACTCCCTCGCGAAAAGAGCCCGGAATTGACTAAGGGGGCTGAGGGTGGGGGAGACAGGACGCCGACTCCCAGAATGCGCGAGGAGTAACGGTCAGGACCTCGTTCCGGAGGCCCCAGCGCCCCCTGCTGGAAGCCATGAGGACAGCGGCCCCTCAGGACGGAAGCGCGTTATAGCACTTCCGGTCTTGGCCGGAAGCGGCTGGCCGGGGCCCTCGTGGGTCTTTGGAGTATGGAGGGCGCGTAATCGAGTGCTCATCAGAATCTGAGTCAGCCAGGGCTCAGCAGGCCGCGGCCGGGATATCCAGCTCCGGAGCAGCGGTCTGGCCTCGCCGCGTCATGCCCACAAAGTCTAGGCGCCTCGGCCCCTGCCTGCAGGCCGGCCGGACCTCGCTCCCTCTCCCGGAGCTGCCGTCCTGGCGTGCTCGGGGAATCCAGGGTGCAGGCCTGTTCTTCCCTGCAACCTCGGGACACCTCATTCCTAAGCCCGCCCCCCAAACCGCAAGCACTGATGCTGCAGCCTCACACTGCAGGATGTCCCCGGGCCCTTGAGCATCAGGGGAAGCAGAGAGGAGAAAGCCGTATCTCCCAGTGGCCCACCCTGGCACAGGCTGTGGAGGGGCGCACCTGGTGAGACTCCATAACCCCCCGTTGCAGGGCTGGGGTTAGTTCCCAAAATCAGCCTTCAGCGGGCCCTCCTGGCCTCAAGGGATCCAATTTAATGTACACACAGGTCGGTGCCTGCAGGAGGCTCATGGTGACATCACCCAGCATCCCCTTGGGGGCCAGCAGCCTGATGCAAGAGACGGCGGGGGCTTTGCCAGACTGTGGCTGAGAACTCTCCCCCAGCCCCTGGGAGATGCACCGTGGCCCGAGCCCCCCAGACGAGCAGGGAGGAGGCGCCCGGGAGGGGTAGCGCACCCACCCTCTGCAGGGAGGGAGGCCAGTGGGGCGGAAGGCCACCTCCAGCACATCCCGCACCACATTCTCTGCCCCCGCCCCTCCTGCCCGCTCCAGGCAGGGATGCATCCGTGGGAGTGAGGCTGGGCGGAGGATGCTTTGGGAGGCACGACCCCCACAGAGGGGCACTCGCCTGGGGACCCTGTCACAGCCCTCCGATGGGGGGGGGCGGGGGCAGCTCAGCTGAGCTGGGCAGTGTCGCCCCTCAGCGCCCCCGCCCGAGGCCTCAAACGCAGCGGGCACAGGAAGGGGCTAATGGTTTGTTAGCATGCCTGGTTTCTCCTTCTTTATTGAATGACTTTCAAGATGTAATTACAATGAAAGGTGAGGCGTTAGAAAGGACAGGTGCAGTGAAGGCGTAAGGCTGCTGTTCATAGATCCAGCTCTAGAGAGAGGTGGCAGGACGGGAACAAGGATTAAAAAAAGGCGTGAGCCTTGTGGCCCACGGGACGGGTGGGCGGGAGGAAGGTGCCTGCGGCCCCCTGGGGAGTCCTGGCAGAGCCGGCAGAGGCCCCAAGTGGCTGCAGACGCGGAGGGGACCCTGCGCTGCATTCCCCAAGGCCCACACTCACACGCCACCTACAGGTGACGCCAGCCCCCAAAGGTAACGGGGAACTTTAGGACAAAAACAAAACCTCCAAAGTAAAAAGGTTAATAAGTGTAGCTGAGTAATACCAGAAAAGTTATATACACAGGCAGTAACGGCGCCTTCTCAGAGCCTCCTCAGAAACGTCCCGGCCCCGGTCTCTGCAGGCACCGAGGGGCCCCCGCGGCCCGAGCGGCGGAGCCTCAGTACACAGAGCTGTTCCGGATGCCGCAGCAGAGCACCATGCTCAGGATCATCTCAAAGATCTGCAGGGAGGGGCGGGCGACCCGTCAGCGCCCCAAGGCCCGCGGGGGCTGAGGAGGTGCCCCCCTCCCTGGCCCCCAGCCCCGCCCGGCCCACTCACCATGATCACAGCGACCACAATGGCCGCGATGCCGATGAGGTACAGCTTCCCGGAGAAGAGGTCATCGATCTTCTGGTGGCAGTCCTCCTGCAGGGCACGGGTAGCCGGGCGGTCAGCGGCGCTGGTCCGCAGCCGCCCCCGACGAGGGCCCGGGGAGGGGGGCCCAGCCCTGGCTGCCCGCAGAGCAGGCGTGCACAGGCCCCGGTCTCTGCCGGGTTTCATCCAACACCCGTGTTAAACACACGTGGGAACGAGGAGCGGCTGTGGGCGCCCTCATCCATTCAGAGGTCGCTAAGCAGAGCACGGGATGGGCATTGACCCAGGAGGTCAGGGCGCCCGCCTTGCCCACCGGCAGCCAGACTCAGAGAGCTGCCCCATCAGGAGCCGGGCAGGCACTGTCGTCCCCCCGGGCCGTTGGCAGCACTCGGCTCCCGGGCAGAGCACCCCGACCCAGGCCATGGCACTGCCCCAGGTGCCTGCTAGTGCCCGCCAGAGCTCAGGGCAGCCGGCCGCCACCCGGGACCCACGAAGGGCGGAGGGCGGGGCCTGCCCAGCCCAGGGAGCCCCTCCCACCGCCACGCACCTTGATGTTGCTGAGGAGGGAGCTGCTGGAGGGACACAGGCTGTTCTTTAACATCATGGTGGTCAGTGACATCAACGTGCTGGAGCCACAGCAGTTGAGCTGCAGAGACGGAGGGCGCCGAGCGTCAGCCTGCGCCGTGCGCGAGTGGCCTGAGGGCAGGCGGCCAAGGACACACGACCAGCCGCTCCACAGGCCCCTGCAGCTGCCCCGGCACCGGGCGGGGGCTGGGAGGCCCCTCCTCGTTCCCTTCCCCCTGCTCAGCTGTGCTGCCCAGAGGCCCCAGCTCCCCAGCCGACTGGCCTGTCTGGCTCCCACCAGGGGCCCGTATCCCGGGGGGCCCCAAGGCCCTCGGGGAGCAAGGCTGCCTGGTCCTGAGTGCCCCCTCCGGCTCCTGAGGGCTGAGCGGAGGCCAGGCCGAACGGCAGCCAGTCCCTGCCGCCCCCCCGTCTCAGCCTGGCCCCCGCACCGTCTCGTGGAACGTCTTCACCACAGCCTTGGCGTTGTTGGCATCGTCGTCCATCATGGCCTGCTGCAGGGCCTGGTCGTAGAACTGCTTCACGTCCTTGGCGATCTGGGGAGGGACCCCGGCCCACCCCGTGAGGGCTGGTCCCGGGGGGCACGCCTTCACCTGGCTCCCCGGGGGAGGGGTCGCTTCCAGGACAGACCCAGCCGCCTCACCCCCGGCCCCGCAGGCTTGGCCCCAGGCCACCTGCTCCAGAAAGACCTCTGTGGCCTTCCCACCGGGCCGGCCCCAGGAGGAGCCCCAAAGCAGACCCTGCAGTCAGACCTGTCCCCACACACTGGGCAGTGGGTGCTCCCCTCCCTGCTCCAAGCTGGGGCTGGCCCTCCCTGAGGACCCAGGCTTACCTGGTCCTTGTTGACAAAGCCCCAGATACCAGCGGCCACTTCGCAGGCGAAGAGGATCACCAGGCAGGTGAAGAACTGGAAAGGCCACACCAGGAGGCAGGCAGGGGACAGAGAGAAGAGGGTCAGAGCAGGCCAGGGGCAGCGGCTGGGGGGCCGCTTAGGGTTTGACTCCCACGGACAACCCCCGTCTCAGCGACTGATGGGGGGCGGGGGCAGCGGGCAGCTCCCACCCACCCACTCACATCCCAACTGGGGATGAGCCACAGGGAGCCCAGGGGCACAGAGCCTAGGACTTGGCCCGACGTCCTCGTCGCCCCCGGAGCCCGAGCTCTGCCAGGCAGGACAGCAAAGAGAAGGCTGCGGCCGGAGCTCGGCAGGTGGCAAGGGCGTCCCTGTGGGGTGCCTTGGTTCCCCCACGGAGACCCTGGCCTAGGCTCCCACAGCCCACGCCTCCCAACGGGCCGGTCCCGGACGCTGAGGCCAGGCCGCGCCTTCGCGTCTGTGGGGGCGTGGCAGGAGCACCCAAGGGTGGGGCTCCCTCCCTATTTTATTACACCTGGGGCGTTTTGTAAAAAGGAGGGAAGAGCCACTTTGGAGCTCGGACGCAGGACCTGGACACGGCAGCAACCGAGCGCGGTGGAGTCCACGCACCAAACAGGGGGCGAGCGCCGGCGTCCCGGGGGGGTCTCCAGGCCGCCGCGACCCCTCCCCCACTCCAGACCAGCTCGGCGGGGGTCCCCGCCCGGCCGGCCCCCCCGCCCCGGACCTACCGTCCCCAGCAGACACTGCGACTCCTGGATGGCCCCGTAGCAGCCCAGGAACCCGACGAACATCATCACAGCCCCCACAGCGATCAGGATGTAGATGCCTGGGGGCGGGCGGGGGCGGTGCCTCAGTACCCGCTGCCCAGGGGCCCCTGGGGCCATGTCCCCCACCCCCCGCCCACCACCCCAGACCTCTCCCCGATCGCGTGCGTACACAGCTGCCCAGGGAGGAGCAGCGAGGGCGCTGCGTGCAGCCTGGCCACCAGGGAGTGCCCCGTGCCTTAGTTTCCCCTCTCTCCTGGGCACCGAATGGCACTCCGCCACATACTTGGAATGGGGAATCAGAGCTCCGTGGGGACCGTCCCTCCCTGGGTGACCCCTACAAGCTGCGCCACTCTGCCTCCCACAAGCCTACGGGACTTCCGGGCACTCTGAGCGGCTCCTTAGACGGGAGCCTGGGGGCTCGACTCTGCTCCTGAGCCTCCCCGCCCCCGGCCCAACTCTGCAGGCCGGCGCCCACTGGGCAAGGCGGCCTGGAGGCGGGGGGGTGGGAGAGCCAGGCCCCGCTGCCAGGATGGGGTGCGGCAGGGACAGCAGAGGATGGCGATGGCTCGCGGGGGCGAGTCTGCCCCCTCGACCTGCCTGAACACCCGCCAGGCTGGGCACGTGTTCCTGAGGAGGCAGAGGCTGTGCAGGGGCGCGAGGCTGCGGCCTGGCCGAGCCGCCCTGCCCAGTGCCCTTGGCCCCGTGGATGGGTGCTGTGCGGCCCTCCAGGGGCCTCCAGGCCCCCCTGGCGGCCCCGGGCTTCTCCAGCACTGGGAACCCGGCTCTCAGCCCCCAGTACCGGGCGCCGCTCCCCGCGCCCCCGCCAGGCCAGCCCCAGGGACGGGAGCCTGGGGTTCAGGATCCGCCGCCACGCTCAGGAAAGGCCGGGACCGGACAAAGCCCTGGTGGGCCAGAGTGGACCTGGCGAAGGGACACCTCCTGCCATGTCCTACCCCGGGCCCCGCCCATGGGGCACAGCCCCCCTCCCCTCGGGCCCGGACACCCCCGGGTGCAAGCGCCCATCGCCGCCTCACCGCGTGAGGCTCGTGCAGCCGGCTGCCGGCCTCCACTTGCCGTGGCCAGAGCCTCGCCGTGCCCTGTGGCCCTGCTCTTGCCCAAGCCCGGCCCTGGCCTGGGGCCGTGGGGGGGCCCCGGGCCTCCCAGCCACGGCGTCCCCAGGAGACGTATGCCTCCCCGCATCCCCCCCAAGGGCTGGCTCAGCTCTGCCACCAGCAAGTTCCATCGCCCGTGGGACCCCAGGCCCAGGGAAGGGGACACAAGGGGAGAGGGGTGGCAGCCCCTCACATGCTCAGGCAGGACCCCCCGTGACCCGCTGGGTCACGCGACTCCTGGGAAGGACAGACCTGCGAGCACCCCCCCACCCCAGGAGAGAAACAGCCCTCAGGTGTCCAGAGGCCACCCCGAGTCCTCAGCCACCGTGGCGGCCCGCCCAGGCTGGCGGTCCCCTGGTGTGCCCTCCAGGCGGCAGGCTCCTCCTGACTCCCAGCCTGGGGGGCCACAGTCGGGGGCCCGGGGAACCTGCAGATGGGGGCGCAGGACCCTCCCCGGGCATGGCTGCCCCCAGCCGCCTGTCCATGCTCCCTGGGACCCCCTCCCGGCCCTGAGAGGGCTGAGGGACAGCGCCCACCCTTCTGCGATGCCTAGTGTGGGGGCCCTCCGCGTACCCCGGCCGGCAGAGAGGGGGCAGCCCCAGCCCGGGAGGCGCACGCCCGCGCCCTAGGCAGGCCCGAGGGGATGGGGCGGTGGGGCGGGCCCGGGGGCCTGCCTTTAAAGGACAGAACCGTCTCAGCACAGGCTGCCAGCGGGCCAGGCCAAGCCCCGCCCCGCTGGCTGGGACCCGCCGCGGGGGCGGGGGTGCTCCTCAGGCGTCGCCCTGCCCTGGGGGGCACGGCGGCCCCCTCCTCCGGCCTGACAGACGCCGAGGGGCTGCAGCTGGTGCCCTGGGGGCTGACTGGCAGCCTCAGGAGGCGGCAAGGTGTGGCTGCGGGGGGCCCAGTCCCTCAGCCCCGCTCCCTCCCAGGGCCGAGTCCGGTCCCCCAGAGGCTCTGGTCAGGCTCCCACAGCCTCAGCTGCTGCTCGGGCTGCCCAGGCATCTGGCCCCACCCCGTCCCGGGCGCCTCCCCTGAAATACCCTATGCCTGACATAGCTCCCTGCCTGACTCAGCCGCCGCCCTCCGCCCTCCGGCACGGGCTCCGCCCCAGAGGTGAAGGGGGCGGGGGGCGACCAGCCACACACCCCTGGGGCTTCCAGCTGCACCGTCTGGCGGTGGGGGCCTTGGCGCCAACGCCTTCCCCAGGCCTACGAGGCCCCAAGCTGACCTGACCCCATGGCTCCGGGGCCCCCCTCACCCCCCAGTGGCCGCCTCCGCACCCAGGTGCCCAGTGAGCCCACTCGGGCCCCGCCTCCTCGTGGAAGTCCCCGACTGCCTGTCCGTGGCCTCGCCGAGCTCAGTCGGGCACCTTGGTGCGCCGTCCACGCCCGCCCCCGGCCCCCGCCCCGGGCCGGCCCCACGCGAGCTCACCTACGTAGAAGGTGTTGGGCGCAGGCTTGTTTCCGAGCTCCAGGTAGAGGAGGTTGGTGGTCTGGGGGTCATGGCGGAGCCACAGGGCCACACCCAGGATCACGCCTCCGGCCAGCTAGGGGAAGAGCAGGGCAGGGTCACGTGCAGCCCGGAGCCGACACAAGGAGCAGGGTGCTGGGCCCCCCCACCTGTCGGTGGCCCGAGGGACCCCGCGGCCTCTGACGTCTGCCTTGCCGCCCTGGCGTGGAAGATGCCCAGGGACGGCCCGGGTGCGGGGGACCCTCGGGCCCTTGGAGACCGGCAGTCCGGTCCCCACCCACACCTGCAGCAAGACTCGGGGACCGGCGGCCACGCAAGACGCAGGGGGGGCCTGGGTAAACCTGCGTTTCAGACGCACAGGGACTGCTCCCGAGGACAAGGGTGTCCCAAATACTGCGTGGGGGCCCTGAATGCCCGAGGCGGCCTTGTCTATGTGAGGCTCAAGTTCACGTGGGTGTCCATTTGCTAAATCTGGCCAGAAGCCACAGGGGACCCTGAGCACCTCAGGGGACCCCGAGTCGGCTGCCAGGAGAGGGGCGGGGACTGGACGGCACTGGGCCCTGGCAGGGCTGGTGGAGAGCAGGGTAGAGAGGGGGAGGCAGCTCGTGCGCGTCCTAGAAGAGCAGCCGCTGCCAGCGGAAGCCGCTGGGCTCCGAATCGGCGCCTGTGCCGGGCAGGGGGCTGCCCGGAGCCCTCAGGGCAGGCAGGGGGGCCCCACATCGAGCCCGGCGAGCCCAGACCAAGCCCGGCCAGGCCTGCGCCTGTCGGGGCCTCCGGGCCACCCAGGCAAGCCAGCCAGCACCCCGCCGCCCCCCGTACCCAGCCCCCCGGCCTCGGGAGCCCACCAGGAGGACTCTGGTCCCAGAGCTGCAGCCAGCGGCTCCCGGCCGCCTCTGCCCCCTCACCGCCACCCCCGCTGCGGTCCACGTGCCCACGCCAAGGGCTCCAGGCGCAGACCCCACGGCTGCATGTCCCATGGGGAGGAGAAACCCGAAACAGACGCCGAGAAACTGTGCCTGTCCCCCAGGCCGTGGCCAGGGAGAGGGGGCCCCGGGGGGTGACAGGGGAAATGTGCTCTGAAACGCCCGGAGCAGCCCCAGGGCCTCCCAGGCAGGTGACACTGAAGCCACAGGAGGGGGCGAGAGGGGCTGTGGGCTGGGACCCTCCACCCTGGGCTCGGGGGCGCCCAGGCACCCCGCCGCACCCTGGCTCCCACTGCCACCAGCTGCGGCCTGGGTCCCTGCAACGGGGCCTCCCAGTCCGGCGGGCGAGGGCAGCCCCGCCACGGCAGCAAGGCTCCCTCCATCCTTCCCGGTCCTGCCGTGCACCCGCTGGCCGAGGCCCCCTCCCAGGGCACCCAGCATCCGGTCCCCGCTCTTCGGTGCCTGCCGCAGCCCAGAGAGGGCCGGAGGGCCCGAGGGACCGGGCAGGGCGGGTGCCCTGGAGTCCTGGGGCTCCGAGCGGGCGGCCATCTGCGGTTCCCGGGGAGGCTGAGGTTGCCGTGGCAACTCTGGCTTGGAAACATCGCTTTTCTGTTTCAAAACTGTGGTCCAGAGGCGGCTGTGTGAGATGCCCTGGACAGAGGGGGAGGGGCAGGGAGCCGGCCGGGGCCTCGTCTTCAGCCACAGAGACTGGGCCTCCGTGTCCCCACGGCCGAGGGGAGCTGAGCGTGGAGCGGCGCCTGGCTGGGCTGGGACCACCCCCCACCTTCCCTGGGTAGCGCCTCATCCCCAGACCGGAGGGGACGAGCTGAGTCTGGGGCCACATGGTCCCCACCCACAGTGTTCCTGGTGGGGTCAGAGCCGTCACCTGTGCTCCCCTGCCCATCACGGGTCAGGAGGAGCCCCTCCAGATTCCCCATGGCCCCCCTGCCTCCAAGGCGGACGGGCCTGGCCGAAGCGCCCCCTCCCTGGGTCGCCCCTGGCCTGCAAGACCTGCCGCCACACAGAGCAGAGAGAGGGAGGGAGGGGCGGGAAGGCGCCTGCAGGGCCGGAACCCCCAGCCTGAGGGGGGAGGGCCCCGAAGCGGGCGCGCGGCGGGAAGGACCCTGCTCTCAGGTTTGCACGCGGCTGGGAGGACGTGTATCCGAAGTTTACAGAGAACTTTCAAAACTCAGAAGGAGACAGCCCCGCTTTCCAAACAGACAAAAGATCTGAACAGACGCTTTGCCAGGAAGGAGACAGGAGAGCAGCTGACTCGGGAAGCTGCCCAGCATCACCAGTAGACACGCCGATAAGCCACTGCGGGGGGGCCTCCCCTGCACCCCGAGAGGGGCCACGTGACGCAGACCGACCAAGGGCTGCAGTTCAGAAGCTAAACCCACCGCCTCGGAGCCAGGAAGCCCCCTGGGTTCTTGCCTGAGGAAGTGGGGCCGCGGCGTCCACAGGGGCCGGTCCCTGGGGCGTCTAGAGAACAGCCCGGGGACCAGCCCACGGTCCCCCCTCAGGAGACTGAGTGCGTGAACCAGACCGACCGGGCGCGGCCGAGCCGGGGCACCCTCCCGGCGAGGGGAGCGCAGCTGGCCGGCTCCAGGGAGCTCCGCCGCTGGCGGCCAACAGGGGAGGGAGCCCCGCAAAGAACCAGAAACGAGGGGCACAGGTGGCAGCCACAGCTGTGGGGGCGGGGGCCATGGAGGCCTGGGGACACTCTGGGGCAGAGAGGGCTGCCACCATCGCAAGCGAGCGTGGGAGTGGCTTCCCAGGTGTCTCCCTGTGTCAACGCTTAACGAGCTGTATCTTTTAAATGTGTCGTTCACGTCAAATAAAACTCAAAAAGAAAATAAAACCACGAAAAAGCAAACCCCACCCCCAAACCCCTGCCAACTGAACTTCTAAGCAGCGAAGCGTTTAGGGCTACACGTGTCTTCTGGGTCCCCTCAGGGCGAGCCCGGACGTCCCGGGCCCGCTGCGGCCGCCCGCGAGTGCCTGGACGCGCCGCGGTCCCGTCCAGAGCCGGAGGGCGCACACGTGTGCAGGCCAAGAGCCCAGGCCGGCCGACGGCAAGCCATGATGGCCTCGTCTGTTCAGCGGGGCAGCAGGGCAGGGGGGCTGACGCGGTGGGCGCGGGCCATGGCGCTGCTGTGCCCGGACGGCGCCCCCGCCTTGTCATCACTGGGACTGGGACTGGGAGCTTCAAGGCAGGTTCTCTGAGGGCCCATCAGACACGCCTCCGTCCACACCGCTCTGGAGACGGAGCCTGCTGCCGGGTCGGTGGGCGGGAAGGTCCTGTGCCAGGGCAGGGCACAGCGTGTCTGTCGTCCTACAGAGGGTTCTGCTTCTGCCTCTTTCTTCCTCCTTTCTGAGAACTGATAAACAGCAGCCTCGGCTGGGGAGGGGATGGCCAAGCACGCTGGGTTCCTGCCTGGCGGGCCGAGTTTCTCAGAAGCCGCTCAGAGGGAGTGCGAGGGTGGGGTGCCGCCCGGCAGGCCTGCCGCGTCCCGTCCCAGGAGCCAGCGCGCGGCTGGCAGTCCCCTCCCTCCGCAAGGACCCAGGCAGGATGGCCCCCCCCACCCTCGCTGGGCAGGCGCAGCCGCCTCCGCACGTCCTGCCTATGCATTCCGCGGCGGCAGGAGCACTCCCTGCGAAGGACAGCTGGTCTCGGGCTCAGTCCCCCGGTGCCGAGGCTCTCAGGGCGCAGCCCTGCCGCGACCAGGGAGGGCCGTCCGCGGGGAGCACCCCAGGGCCCTCAGCTCCGCTCCCTCACCCCTGCTCGCCCGCCACCAGAGGTGGGCACACACTGGCAGGACAAGTGCCCCGTAGACAGCCTGCCCGGCTCGGCCACGGGGAGGGCCCAGGAGCCCGGAGCCCGTGCCCTGGAGGGTTGGGAAGGCCGAGGCAGGAAGCAAGACAGGAAATGTCCTTGCAGACGCTGGAATAAGTCGGGGCCACAGCAGGGCCGCTCTCAGGCTGGGAGGTGGAACGCAGGAGGGCCGGTGGGGGAAGAGCGGTCCCTGCAGGCTGACTCTCGCCTCTGCCCCGCCCCCCGGCCAGGCTGCTCCCTGGGCGGCCCAGGGCTGTCTCAGGCGTCCCTGGGGCGGGCAGCCGCCCCCCAGGGCTCGGCGAAGGCAGGAAGGACGTGCCCCGGGAAGAGCAGCATCCTTGGACAGGAAGCAGAAACCTGTCTCACTCTCTGCCTCAGGAAGCCGCCCCACCAGGCGTCTAAAAATAGGTGTGGGGCATGGGGAGCGAGGACCCTGGCCATCCACCGCGCCGCTGGCTAGGGAACACAAGCGCCACATCCCACTGAGAAATGGATGCAGGTCCCTGAGGTCCCCAGCCCCCTCTCAGGGTGCAGGGGAGGCGACCTGGGCCCCAAGGAGCAGGCTGCCACCAGGGCCAGACCCTGCATCTGCCACCCACTCCCCAGGCAGGGGAGCCAGGACGGCCGGCTCCCCCACCCCAAGCCCACCCTGCGGGCCGGATGGGCCCTTGCGGCAGGAGCCCCGCCCTGCCCCGTTCTGCGGGGGGCGGGGCACGTGGACACCGACGTCCCAGGGACCTGCCAGAGATGGGCGACGATGGCGGGGCCGAAGGGGCGGCCCCGTCCGGCGCCTGCTGCCGGAGAGGACGCGACTTCCCGTGAGCGGAGCTGTGACCACGCTGAGGAAGGACGGGGCGAGGGCGGCCCGTCTCCAGGGCAGGCGGCTGCGGGCATCCCCCGGGCGGGCGTGTGCCTCTTTTCTGCTCCACAGCAGGGCTCGGCCGGGGCCCGCACGCCCGCCGCCAGGCGCTGGCGGTCCGTTGCCGCACAGAGCCGACCTCGCCGCCGCCCACCGGCGACAGCACAGGTGTGACGGCTCCCGGGCGTCCCGGGCATCGCCCTGCGGCTGGCCTGGGCGTGGGGCAGCAGGGGCACCGGGGGAGCCGCCTGCCCGCCCGGCCACAGGGCGCCTTCGCGACAACGACCAAGTCAGCCCGATGATGTCCGCAGTCAGGAGTGGGGCCCGGCTCTAGGGAAGACGGCGAGGCGGGTCCCGCTCACCAGGCCTCGGGGCCGTTTGAGGACCACCCACACCTGGGCCCCCAGCCCCGTCCGCTGGGGGTGGGAGCTCCAGCCGCCTGCCCCTCGGGCACGCCCCTCCCCGCATGGGAGGGCCACCTGGGGGCCCCAGCACCGAGCGTGTGGGGGGGGAGGGGCAGGACAGAGAAGCCCTGGAGCCTGTGGAAGCTCGTGGGCTCCAACCACATCCTGCGGGACCCCTGCAATCGACTCAGAAGGGCCCAGGGCCAATAGCGGGCGAGCCCGCTGTCCTGGGCAGGGCAGAGAGTCCGGTCACGGGGCAGGTGATGTCTCCGGGGCTGAAAACCAGCCAGCCCTCGCTCAGCGCCCGGGCCGGGACCAGGGCCGCCGGCTTCCCTCCCACCGCCACGCAGGGCCCTCGGAACACAGGACCACGCAGAGGTGACTGCCCGCACCACGGGCTCCTGGGCTGGAGTCCTTATTGATTTTATGGCCCAGGTCCTTCCCCATCGTGGTTTCTGGAGCGGAAGTGGGGGCTCGGGGCTGGAGTATCTGGCACAGGTGGTTCCGGCCTGTCCCCTGTTTGGACTTGGAAGCGGGATGAGGCATAGAGATGGAGCCAAACTCAACAGCGGGCAGCAGAATGGACCTGGGTCGCGCCGGGGACCCTACCAGGGGGTGGGGTGCCACATCAGCACCAGGGTCCCAGGCCGCTTGCTGCCCAGACGTCCCGGCTGAGGCCCGCGCCCGCCATTCAGGCACAAACCTTAGAACTTCCTCTTCTCCACCTGCCTAGCCGCACAGCAGCGCCCCCACAGATCGGCAGCCCGGGAGCACCTGGGGGGTCCACTCGCCCGCCCCCCTGAAGAAACCAGGTGCAGGAAACCGCCCCGCCCCGCCCCCACCCGGCCGCCCGCTGGGGCCTGCCGGGGCCGCATCCCCTCTCCAGACCGAAGGTGACAGAACTGCTAAGTGATAGACAGTCATGTGCTGTCTGGAAGCAAAAATTAAATGCCAGTTACCAAGGCTTCCCTCGTCAGCCGGGTCTGGCCGCCCGGCCCCTGGAAGGCAGCCACCGACTGCGTCAGGCCCGGCACGGCCAGTCCCAGCGGCCCCTCCAGGGCCCTCCGGGCAGCCCTCTCCGGGGAGAGGGCGTGAGCTCGCCCGCTTCACGGGGGAGGCCCGCGGCCTGCCGCAGACGGCCAGCTGCGGGGGGGGGGGGCGGGGAGGGCGTGCTCTCCCGGATCCGCCCCAGCAGGGCAGCTCAGGTTCCCGCCAGCTCTGCCAGGAAGCTCCCGGCCTCCCAACGGGCAGGATGGCCGCCGCTGCTCCACAGTGTCCCCCGCTCCGGTCAGGCTGCCGCCGGACCTCCCGCCCTGCCCCGGCCCCTGCCCCGTGGTCTGACGCCTGGCCGGCCAGGGAGCCCCAGAGCAGGCGGTGGTTCGGGCGCAGGCATGCCCGTGCTGGCGTGCGGGGTGGCCAGGCTCCTTCCTGGGAGAGCGTGCCAGGCCGCCCGAGGCCACTTCCACGCGGGCGCCTCCTTGCTCTCTGGCGTGGACTCTAAAACATTCCCGCACCCAGACACCCACTGCCAGCCTCGCCCTGGGTCCCCGCGGCCCCCACGCCTGCACTGGTGCTGGGGGGCACAGCCCGCGGGGCGGCTGAGCGCTGGGCGCCTCCCCCCACCGGGGCTCCGCCGGCCCCAGCCCTCGTCCCTTTCCTGAGCTCGGCCCCGGCCCCTTGGCCCCAATGTGGGAGCTCACCCACCGACACCCCAGGAGACGGGACCTAGAGAACCCCACTTTCGAGGGGAGGAAGTGGAGGCCCAGCATTAGAGCAGTGGGGTGGCCTCCACCCAGGTCCGCACGGCTGGGCTCTGCATGCCCCCACCGTGGGGTGACCCCCATGGGTGGGTGGGGCCACCGTGGCTGTGGATACCCCGGCAGCGGTGGAGAGGCCCAGCGCTCAGTGCTCGGCCCAGTGGGCCCGGGCGGGGGCGGCCCGGAAACATCTTCTCCAGTCTCCGTGGGGAATGGCCCCGGGGTGGGCCGCCGCCGCCCTAGCTACCCTGGGAAACTACCGGCTTGTGCAGCCGCGTCCGGAGGGGGCGGGGCGCCCTGGAGACGTCCCCTTCCTCCGCCTGCGCTCCCCTCCCCAGGTAGAGGGCCCATGCTCACACTCAGGCTCGGGGCGGGGGGGCGCAGGGCGGCGTCTGGGTGCCCCCTTGACCCCCACTGCCTGCCGGGGCCAAAGCAGGCACATGCCAAGTCCCTGACGACACCACACCTCGATGGCACGCCCCCAGGCCACCCCACTAGAGTTCAGCCCGGTCCGGTGCTCTCTGCCCCCGACGCCTCCCTGCCCGAGAGCCGCCAAGCCCGGGCTGTCCAGGTGCAGAGCAGGTGTCCCCACCCCACGCACTTGCTCCCGGGGCCATTGTAAAAGCTCGCCCTGCCATCGTCCACGTGGGAAATGCACCGTCCACCCGACGGTGCCCTGGTCCTGCGGGAGGAGGGCTGAGCAGCCCAGGGTAGCGGAGCAGCCTGAAGGGGCCAGGGGGGCCTGGGAAGGGGCCCCGGTCACTGCCCAGGGGACCGGCCGGGGAGGCAGGGCATGGTCCTGAGAGGATGGCTGCCCACCCGTCACTGCCACTCCCCTACTTCCTCTGCCACTCCAACACCGACAGGAAGTGAAAACAAAGTAAAAGCCTCCCCCCACCCCCCGACACGGGCCAGCAGCTGTGACCCAGGTCAGGAAACACGCTCTCAGGCTGCGGCTGGGAGGCCCCGAGCACCCAAACAAGACCATCCGGTGGGCGCTTCTTCCCACGGTGGGCACCTGAGGCCAGACCCGGGCCCACAAGCTCGAGGACACCTGCCCTGTGCCAACTGGGGGGCTGCGGCAGCCCCGCTCCCCCAACGGCCGCCGAGGGCTGGGCTGGGCTGGGATCCAGGTCTGGGTGCGGGGGGCCGGGGACTGGCCGCCACAGCAGGGGCCAGCACGGAGCAGGGACCCGCGCGTCCAGGCCAGCCCAGGGCCAGTGAGCCCAGATCCCCGCCCCCCACATGATCCCCAGGGTGGCGAAAGCCACCTGTGAGGTGAGCTGGGCCCAGCCGACAGCGGGGTGGAAGGTCACTAAGACTCAAACCGAAAGTGCAGCCCCCACCCCCCAACAAGGCCGCCCACCCAGGGGCGGTGGCCCTGATGAGCTCATGGGGGCGGGACGCCGGGAGCCCCGCCCCCAAGCCCCCCCATCCCGTCCCCATAGGCTGGGTGGTCCCAGAAACAGCAGCCAGCACGTCGAGAGGACCGGGTACGAGGCTCCGAGCCCGCACCCACCGACCCCCACCGCCATCAACAAGCCGGGACAGACACGAGGCCCCGAAACGCCCCGGCCCGGCCGCGGGGCTCGGGGTCCTGACGACCACAGGCCCGCAAACCCGGCTCTCAGCCCCCCACCCGCCCCCTGCCTCCTGCCGTCAAGGCGCGCGGCGGCACAGACGACCCCCACGCCGCGGCCTGTCCACCTAGGACCCCCCCGCCCCGCTCCGCGCCCGGCCCGCACGGGTGGCCCCACAACTTGGCGGCCCGATTGCGCCCCCTCGGCGGGGCCTAGTGGGGCGCGCGGCCTGCGGGCTCCAGGGGCGCCCCTCCCGGCCCCCCGCCCCCGGCCGGGGCTCACCCAGAAGACGAAATTGAAGACGAAGAGCAGGTACTTGATGCACTTGGTGCAGCCCTCCACCCCCATGGCGGCGCGGGCAGCGGGGCCTGCGGGGCGCGGGCCGGTCCTGGGCGGCGGGGCGCCGGGTCTTGGGGGCCTGGCGAGCGGCCGGGGGCCGGGGCGGCAGCCGAGGGGCGCGGGCGGCGCTGGAGGCGCGGGGTGGCGCGGGGACGAGTGTCGCGGGGGGCCGGGACTCGTGAGGTCGCCGCCGCAGTCGCTGCGCGCTCGCTCTCTGGTGGGGCGCGCGCACCGGTCCGCTACTTATCGGGAGCCGAGGCCCCGCCTCCCGGAGCCCCCGCCCCCGGCCCCGCCGCCCGCCGCCGCGCGGCCACCCGGCCGCACCGCAGGCCCGCTTGCAGGACTTGTGCAGCCAGGACCCTCGGCCTGGGCGCGCTGTGCTAGGCACCGTCCGAGCCTCCGCGGGACTGCGCCCGGGAACGGGCCTGCAACCAGGAAGCCCAGGGACGAAGGCTTCCATCTCTCCCTGTGGCCAGCGTTTGTTCCGGACAAAGTCTTTCCTCTAAGTCAACCTTCATCCCTCTCGGGTGTCTGGTCCGCGCCTTAAGGACCCAAAGTGCCGAGCCGACCGCCAGCCCTACAGGGGACGCCGGAGGGACAGAGAACAGAGCGCCAACACAGGTGACTGTGCTGTTCACTGGGGTTTTACTAATGCAGGTTCACTCAGTTTTTTATGGCTGCTGATTTAAATCCACATCCATGCAAGCTCCTAACAATACCAGTCCCTCAGAAACAAGCTGTAATGGCATCACAGGAGAGAACTGCGGGGGGTCACGGCCCCGAGCCCCAGAGTCTCTGTCTGCGGGTCCAGGCGGGAGCACCGTGGGCAAGGGAGCCGTCAGCGTCTTGCAGGGAAGGCTCTCCGGAGCCAGGCGGGCAGCAGGGCAAGCGAAGTCCTCTGTCCAGCAGGGCAGAGCCTCGGGGGCCGAGGCCAAGGGAGAGCAGCGCGGCGTGGAGCAGAGCTCCAGGGCGTGGAGCTCGGCTGCGGCCACAGTGGTCTGGAGCCTGCCTCGGTTCCACCTTGAGAGTGGCGGACCCCAGCCCTGGCAGGGGTGGCTCAGTGGATCCAGTGCCGGCCTGCGCACCAGAGGGTCGCCGGTTCGATTCCCAGTCAGGCCACCGGCCTGAGGGCAGGCCAGGTCTCCAGTAGGGGCGCACGAGAGGCAACCACACACGGGCGTTTCCCTCTACTCCAGCCTTCTGGGTCTCTTGATAGGCCCCTTGGCACCCCTGACAGCAAGTGGGGAATCTCCCTAGAAGCCCGCTCTGCAGACACACTTGTTGTGCTCACATGTGCCGGTATCTTAGATGTGTCTCCTTGCCAGATGTGTCTAGTGTGACTTAGGGCTGTTTCCCTTTTGAAGCAAAGTGCCATGGCTGACTGGCAGCCATCTGCGTTGCCATGAGTGACCCCACTTTGTTTTAATATAGTTTCTGGTGTCTTGACCGGACCGACAGCATTTCATCCGTCCCGCTCTCCACACTCCCCCAGTCCGCCCTCTGGCGCCTTGGGCTACCCAGGGGGGCTCCCTGGAAGAGGCGATGCCCCAGCAACAGTTGAGCCAAGCTAGCGGCGAGCGTGGTTCCCACTGCTGCCAGGACAGGCACTCGGGTGGGTGACGAGGTGGACCGTCAGTAGGCCTCTGCCGAGGACCCTGGGATGCGATTCTAGGCAGCTGGCCCCTTGTCCCTGGAAAGGGCACTGCCGGGGTGTCCCCTGGGCTAGCGCTCAGTGCCTAGGAAGCCTACGCCCCCTGTGGGAGGACCCCCGGTACCGTGCATCTCGTGCCGGAGCCCAGCCGCACACTCCTGCTGAGGCGCGCGGGCCGGACCTCGCCGCCCGGTGGCCGAGCCCGTCTGCAGCATGGTGACACCCCACCGCAGACACGGAAATGAGCGCCAAGTGCTGCAACGGGGCTGCGGCGCCGCCGGGCACTGGGGGTCGTCGTTGTCGCTTAAATCGGAGGAGCCGCTGGCCGCCGCGTCAGGCGGAACAGCCTGCGTGCCCACGTGCACCCCGCCCGCTTCGCAGCGTCCTTGGCTAATGATAAAATCCACTGCAGTGTGGCGCTTGCGCGAGAGCCCCAAGCCCACGTCGACGCCTCGTGTTGCACGTGCGCCCGTCGGCGAGACGTTTTAACAAGGGTAGCGAAAGCCCTGATCCATGTGGCTCCGTTGGCTCGACGTCGTCCCGCAACGCGAAAGGCCGTGGGTTCAAATCCCAGTCAGGGCACGCGCCCAGGTTGTGGGGCCAGGTCCGCAGGAGGGGCACGTACGAGAGGCGGCGATCTATGTTTCTCTCTCACCTGATATTGCTCTCCCTCTCTTTCCCCCTCCCTTCCCTTCTCTCTAAAAGTAGATAAATAAAATCTTTAAAAGACATTAAAAGAATAACATAAGTCTTCACTTGAGGGTCGGCTGGAGATCTTTTTGTTGAAAAGGAGGCAGAACAGGCCTCGGGTGTCAGAAAATGCTCTCTCTCATCTCGGCGGGTGCGGCTCGGTGGACTGGGCACCGGCCTGCGAACCAAAGGGTCGCCGGTTCGATTCCCAGACGGGGCACAGGCCATGGGTTGCGGGCCAGGTCCCCAGCAGGGGGCGCGTGAGAGGCAACCACACATTGATATTTCTCTCCCTCTTTCTCTCCCTTCCCTTCTCACTGAGAATAAATACATAAAATCTTAAAAAAAAAAAAAAAAAAGGAAACGCTCTCCCAGATGTCCTGGGCACCCTTCCCCCCACGGGCACCCCCAGCTCCCGCTGCCCACAGTTACAGGACATTTCCAGCCGTGGGTGCGGGTGGGATCCTCCCTCCGGGAGTGGCCTTCCCTGGGCCCTGGGGGCCGGGAAAGGGGACATCGAGCCCCGCCTCGGCAAGCGGGGCCGGAGCAAGCCCGGCCTGCTGACCTTGCACTCTGCCTCCTGGGCCCCCACCCCCCAGGCAGGTGGCGCCGCCAGCAGCTTGGCCTGTGCTGTGCTTCGCTCACGCATCAGGTATTCAGTGCGCGCCCGCCGCGTGCCAGGCAGTGTTCTAGGTGCTGGCTGTGGGGAGCTGGGCCGCCGGGGCCCTCTCGCTCACGGTCCTTAGGCCCTGGTGACGGTGACAGATGTCCATCACGTCTCATCATTTCTGGGAAGGAAGGAAATTCCTGGGATGCTTAAAAGGGCACCCCGGAGCCCCAGCCCCCTCCCACCATGGGGGCGCTGGGAGGCGTCCGGTGGGCTCTGAGGAGCGAGACGGAGCCGGCCCTGCTTTCCAGGCCCGGGGCCGGGGAGCCAGGGTGGAGACGGGAAAGGAAGCCGGGGGTGGGGGCCGGGGCGCGGCTGGGGGGCGGGGGGCGGGGGGAGGGCTAGACGCCGAGGCCGGCCCTCCACCGCAGGCTGGTGCGGAGCTCCCCTCGGTTCTGACTGCGGTGGGAACAATGGGGGCGTTTCACAGGGAAGGCGCGGGCCTGGCTCCCGGGCTGGATGGGGCCGCGGGGGGCGCAGGCTTCCTCGGCCCCCACCCACATCCCGCGGCGGGGCCGGCACACACAGGCACCCGGGGCTCGCTGGGAAAATGGGCTACGAGGGTTGGGGCACGTGGGGGCTGCCCCGGGGACCCCTTCCCTGTGGGCCACCAGCCGAGCTGGTGGGATCGAAGGGACCCACTGTGGAAATGTCAGGGTTCTCCAGAGAAACAGACCCAGCAGGAGACGTGCATGTGCGTGTGTGGCACACACACTATACGTTGTCACGGTGGTTACGGAGCCCGGACGTGCCAGCACCGGCCGCCCGTAAGCCCGAGGCCCTGGAAGCAAGTCGGGTGTAGCTCAGTTCCAGCCCGGAGGCCGCGGAGCCAGGGAGCCCACGGTGGGAGTCCCAGGCGGGAGGCCGGGAGCAAAGGACGTGCCCAGCTCGATGGGCCAGGCAGGGGAGGGGACAGCCCTCCCTCCGCCTGCGGCTCCACGCAGGCCTCGGCGGACCGGGGGGCCCGGCTCGCTAAGTCCACCCACTGCAATGCTGAGCTCCCCTGGGGACACCCCGGACGCCCGTAAAGTAACGTTCTGTCTGGGCGCCCCCTGGCCAGTCCCGGTGACGCCAAACAGCACGGGCACCCATGACGCGGGCGCCCGTGTGGCCGGGGGCAGGCGGGCAGCAGGGACCGCGCCCTGAGAAAGGCTCCTGGCGGGATTCACGGCGGAGCTTTGGCACATCCCTGCCCCCTCGACAATTTGCACAGAAAAACGCCCCGCTGGGCCTGGGCGCCATGGAGAGCCGTGGGGGTGGGGGGCTGCCGGCGCCGCGCCGGGCACCCTCCTTCCGCCTCTCCTGCTCAGCGCGGTGCCAGGCGCTGGTGACTCTCTGCTCCCCCCGAGGCCACATTCTGCCTGGTGAACCGCTGAACCCAACCCTGTACCTCAATTTCCTGTGGAAGCAAACCAAGACCACACGAGGGAGTGACAGGGACGCTGGGGACGGTGAGAATGCCCCCCAAGGGAGCCGGCCTCCCTCCCCGCACGTCGCGGAGGGTCGGAGGCCCGACGCTGTGCCCTTTTGAGAAAGGGCGACTTGAACTCCCTGAAGACAAGGGAGGTGCCACACTGCATTACTAGACTAAGTAACAAGTGTTCTAGGAGCATCTCAGAAGAGGCAGGACAAGCAAGCGACCAAGCCCAGCCCTCCGCCGTGAGAAAAGCCCGTGGCGCCCCGTCACTGAAGGGCGCTTCTTCCGTCCACAAGAAGCCGCCCGCTGATGTCACCCGCCGCGAGCCCGGCTGCGCGGTCCCCAAGGCGAGGAATGAGACACGGCCGCCCCTCTCGCGGCTCACCCAGCATCGTCCTGGGGGTCCTGGCCGGGGCCAGGGGGCAAGAAGAAGAAGTAAAAAGCCGCCCTTCGCAGGTAGGAAGACACGAATTCTCTCTGTTCACACAGGACATGATATTATGCCCAGAGAATCCTAAGAACCCCACCCGAAAGCTAGTGAACCGATTAGACGTGTTTGGCCGCGGGCAGGTTGGGTCAATATGCAAATGTTACTTTTATTTCTATACACCAGCAAGGAGCACGCCTGGAATGGAGAAGACAGTCCCGTTCCAGGGACAGCGGCAGGTAGGACAAAACACGGGAGAATAAATTTAGCCAAAGAAGCGTCAGGCCCGTGCCCAGGGAACAACAAAACGTCGTCCACACGGAGGTAAGAGCTAACCACGCGGAAGGGGGGCCGTTTCACG